CCGTAAGGAGGTGCAAGGGCCTCGCGATGGTCGCAAAATTCGGTACAAATCTTCGATAATACGAGGCAAATCCCAGAAAGCGACGTACATCCCCCACGGTGACCGGAGTCGGCCAATCTCGGACGCACGCCGTTTTTTCCGGGTCCGTAGACACCCCCTCAGCACTCACGATGTGCCCCAAATAACGGACGGACCGTTGCAGTAGGTGACATTTCTTTGGTTTAAATTTCAAGTTCGCGGAGCGCATCCTCGCGAACACCGTCTCCAGCCGCCTTAAATGTTCATCAAATGTGCGGCTGAAGACGATGATATCGTCCAAATATATGAGACATGTCTCCCACTGCAACCCCGTCAAAACGAGTTCCATGAGCCTTTGAAATGTGGCAGGGGCCGCATTCAGCCCCATCGGAAGGCAGTTAAATTGAAACAACCCCTGCGGCGTACGGAATGCGGTCTTCTCCCGTGAGGGCTCGTCAAGGGGAAGCTGCCAAAATCCCGAAGAGAGGTCCAGTGTAGAGAAATACTTAGCCCCCGACAATGCGTCGAGGGAGTCGTCCATACGCGGCAGGGGATACGCATCTGCCACCGATATCTTATTCAATTTTCGAAAGTCAACACAGAATCGCAATTTGCCATCCTTTTTCTTAACCAAAACCACAGGCGCGCCCCATGGGCTGTTCGACGGCGATATAATATCCGCAGCCAACATATCCTCCACTGCCCCCCGAACGTGTTCTCGCTCGGCCGGACTCATTCGGTGCGAATTCAACCGAATAGGGGCAGCGTCGCCTGTAGCAATGTGATGGTGAAGCAATGAGGTGCGTCCCAAATCCAAATCATTGGAGCTAAACACATCGGAATACGTCAATAACAATTTATGAAGCGCACCCCGTTGATCCACAGACAGGGAAGAATTTCCGTCACATAAGCTAGCAATCCAGCGGTCATCCGAAGCCACAGGCTCGGAAACACCAGCAACCACTCCCTGGCTATGCGAACAATCGTGAGCCGTAAATGCCGTGGTGGCATGTGCCACAACCGTGCCGGCTGGGACACAGACATTTTCCGTACCCGCATTGAGCACCTGCAAAAACGGTAATTGATCTGGCCGGACGATGGTCTGCGCTCCGACCAGCGCCGATCCGGCCGTTATCGAGGCTGAAGGTGACAACAAGATCCCAACCGCTCCCAGCCGACCAGGCAGGGGCTTCCGATACCGCAGGGGAATAAGCATCTGTGAACCAGGTGGAATATCAACAGATGCCACGGATAGCGCCTGCACTTGTACGGCCGAAGCAGGTCGCCCCCAGGGCGACGGCAGAAACGAAATTTGACGGCCACCCGGCAGTTCAATACAATTCTCATTAATTTTGATCAAAATAGGCATCTTAGCCAGAAAATCAGTGCCCAATAAACAGGGAACTGCCAAGGATCTTGAAATCAACACAACGCCCGAGGCCGACACATCCCCAATAGATATTTTAGCGTCCACCTGGCCCACGATGCCCATACTACCCCCGTTCGCAGCGACGCACGACCCGTAAACCGGACGCACGGCCCCGGGTGGGATGCCTAACAGATGAAAAATGACATCCGAAATAATAGTCGCGGACGCCCCGGAATCGACCAAAATGCGCACGTCCACCCCTTGTATAGACCCCGGCACGGTGGACGAACCCGTAGCGGCCGCAACAACCCTCCGTGCCAATTTGCGCCACTGCGTCACAGAGCGACAAGGCCCCGTCGAAGGTCCCTCTTTAACAACAACACTATGACCGCACAACGAAGGTGATGGGTGAGGTGTAAAGCCTTGCCGGGTGTCTGGTGCGTGCCGACTTGCCTGTTTCGGTGGATCCTTGGGCGGCTTGGCCGGTAATGAGGCCTCCTGTTGTGGCGGACCCGGGATGCGGGCCCAGCAGTCCTTCGCGTAGTGGCCCTTCCGTCCGCAGCGGAAGCAATCGGCGTCGTTGCGCCGAAGCGCAGGCCTTGCATCGCGCCGCCCGCGTATCGGCGGTGCAGCACGAGAGGCCGGTCCACCGCGGCCTGACCATGGCACCGAGGCGGCCGTCAGCTCCTGAGGGCCCCGCTCATCCGGCACGTATACCGACTTCGTAGGGTCCCAACCCAGAGCGCCACCCTCCGCGACGGGCCCCCCTGTCCACGCCGTGACCTGTTTCCATCGTCGTAGGTTGAATTGTGCATCCAGACATTTCGCCGCCGCCCGGGAGGTGAGCTTCTCATGCCCGCACACCGGCATGGGAATCCCAAGATCCCGCGACAGCTCGAGCATCTTGCCCAAGATGAGAGGCTCGAGCAGGTCAGGCGTTGTATCTGGATACGCGGCCATAGCCAAATCAAGCACTGCACCCCTGTACGCCACAGGCGACTCCTCGGGCGCTCGTTGTCGTTGAGCGAATCGCCGATGCGCGTCGTCAGGTGGCTCGTAGGCGTCGGCCATTTCTTGAAAAACTCCATATAATGTCCTCTTCTTCTCGGCCTTAATGGAGCGAAAAAAACGAACAGATTCGTCGTCCAGAAGAGTCGGCAACACTTCCAAGGCCTCAGCATCGGTCCATCTCGCAGAACGGACCGCCGCTAAAAATCTGCAGGCGAAAGCGCTCCAGTCGCCCCCAATGGCGAATTCCTTGACCGTGGTGAGATGGCGACTCCGACTTCGCTTCACTCCGCCCTCCGCCGATGGTTCCTCCGGAGGCAAATTCAAAATGGCGTCGAATCGCGGCGTGGTCAAGATGGCGGATTCCCGCCGCGGCACGCGCAAGATGGCGGCCTCCTGCCGCGTGGCCCATGGCGCCGGGAGTGAAGAGCCCGTGGCGGCCTGTGGAGCACTCTCCGCTCTCTCCGTCGCCGTGCTTGGGGTGACGAGATGACACAATTGGCCCAGGGCGTCCTTGAGAGTCTCCAGTTGCTCAGCCACCTGCAGCCATCGCCGATCAGCGTCTGATGGTGTCGGCGGCCCTGACACTGTGGCTACATCTTCCACTCCCGTCCCCGCACTCGTTTCAGCAGGGCTCTCCTCCACCACCCTGGCAGGATCCATGTTTGGAGGGAAGTCTTCGTCTTCGGACGAAGAAGCCGATGCCGGCGCTGGAACATTTTTCTTTCTCACTTGTTTCGACATGCCGTTGCACTTCCGACACCAATGTAATAAAGGACTCGACCACGATGTCTGGCTTGGTGTCCTTTATTCGGTTCTTCTCTCTTAACCCGCACGGCTGTCCTTCTATAAGACTCTATACTGACACTGATACTGCTCTCCTGCAGTTTCTCCCCTCGTCGTTCTCTCAGCCTCTCTCTCCTCTCGTCGCTCTCGTAGCCTCTCCCTCACACACAGCCTCGCCGGCTGTGTTCCCCGCAGCTCCTCGTCCGCCTTCTCTCCAGCCGCCCCACCGCTGTCTTCTCTCGCAGCTCCGCTGGCTGCTCCCTTAGCTGGCCACCGCTGGCCGCCGCTGCCACCCCTTGGCTTTGCCCACGTGGCCTTACTCTGGTCCAGTCCCACTCGTTCTGCCTTCCTCTTCCGGTCTCCTCCCTTAAGAACCTTAACCTTTCCTCCCACGTCACCTAACTCCACCTCTCCGTGACGTCACATCCGGGAGGTCGCCCGCGCCCGCATTACACCGGTAACAAGTACTCATCTCTTTCCCTGGCTCATTCGGTGCACCTTAAAGAGGATTTCAACATCAAGACCTTGCTGGATGCCTTGAAGTATAATGAGTACAGCTGGGAGGTCATCGGAGACTTCAAAATGGTGGCATTCCTGATGGGTCTCCAAGGCGGTTTTACCAAGTGTCCCTGCTATCTTTGCCTTTGGGTCAGCAGGGACACCAAGGCGCACTACCACAAGCGGGACTGGCCAGAGCGGACCGAGTTCTCTGTGGGGAGGAACAACGTTAAGTGGGAGCCACTGGTGGACCCCCGGAAGGTGCTGATGCCACCACTGCACATCAAATTGGGCCTTGTGAAACAATTTGTCAGAACTGTAGATAAGGAGCCTTCAAGTACCTTCAAGACTTATTCCTTGAGCTGTCTGAGGCAAAGGTCAAAGCCGGTGTCTTCGTCGGACCACAGATAAAGAAGATCCTGGAGTGCAATGAATTCCCCAAGACGCTCGCTTGTAAGGAGAAAGCGGCTTGGAACAGCTTTGTCGCAGTGGTTCGTGGCTTCCTGGGCAATCACAAGGTCGAAAACGATGTGGAGCTGGTTGAGACACTGGTGAAGAACTACAGCACAATGGGCTGTAGGATGTCCCTCAAAGTCCATATCCTTGATGCTCATCTTAATAAATCCAAGGAGAACATGGCAGCGTACTCGGAGCAAGGCGAGCGCTTCCACTAGAATATACTGGACTTTGAACGCCGCTACCAAGGTCAGTATAACAAGAACATGATGGGAGACTACATTTGGGGCCGATTCATGAAAGTTATCTACAGTGTAATCGTAAATCTTGAAAAACTACTCTCTAATAAATATTTTGTCGTAATTTTTGTATTACTTTAGTATAAATACATGTTAATTTTAATTCATGTTGTTTTTTCCGACTTTATGTGAACGAAATACACAAATTTGCCCCTTTTCTCATTGAAAATAGAAACATTTCTAAATATCACTGTCCTGGTCACAAAATAAAAGTTTGTGGGGAATAATAGCCATTGTAACTTGATTTGACGCTTTCGTTACTGCAGGAATTACTCTTTGGTTCTTTCGGTAAAGTCACGTAGAATTTTTTTTTTTAAATAATAGAATACGACGTTTCGATTGCAACACAAGCAACCGTTGCTTGTGTTGCAATCGAAACGTCGTACTTCATTATTTAATTTATTTTCTTTCTATGTGACTTTACCAAAAGAACCAAAGAGTAATAGCCATTTTCTATACTTTTTAGGCAAAATTAGGAAATAACACTTACTACCCAGGAACAAAAATTGTGTTACACTGTGTACATACTAGTTAAGTAACACTGACAGAAATGTCAAATATCTTACCTTGATTAACGTTCTGAGATGTTTCTGCCAGAACTGATGTTTTTTGTAATGGTTTACACATTTGTATTTCACTTTGGATATAACGGAGTGGTTTTCTTGTAACTGTTAGGGCGTATTCAAGCTAAAATGTAAAAAAAATATCAAACATTGAAAAATGTATGTACCTGATGATTTATATATTTAGTAGCACTTTTTATGCTTTTTGCCATACTTGTTACGCAGCTAGAAATAATAATTTTCCTTTCAATAAACAATTTAGAATATGTGCATTTACAGGGCACTTAAGTGCCCCTTACATCAATCACATCTCATTTTATCCATTCGGAGGGAATCCCCATTGCCAGCTATGTCTGTACAGTGCAAGGTGACTCAGTATTGGCCTGCAAGTGGGAATTATAATACGAGTCAAAGATGAAATTATTTTCTGCTAAAATAAGCTTTTAGGTGGTGCTTATGTCCTGTTTAAAGACCCAAACTAGTATTGGAAATTCCACGTTCCTATGACGGGTATGAGGATATCCATAGGACAACCACTGCTGAAATCCCTACAACCAGGATATAAACGTGTAACCTTGCGATTGCGAGCCGCTCGCTTTACTGCTGGGTTACTTGGACAGTAATGCAGTGCACTGCTTGGAATATCAGGAGTACGTACCTCAAAATGAGAAAATACATGTTTAATATTATTTTCACTGCTTGGATTATAAAGGGTGTATTTCTCTGCCTTGTTATAATCAAGTAGCTCGTGAAATGTATATTCCTCTCTGTAAAAAGGGTTAGTCAAACAAGGTAAGGTCTCAACAAATCAACACACATGGCTAATCACTGTGCACTAATAATTAATTAAATAAACAATATCGACATTAACAATTGCCCCAACCAATTAAACCGGTCACACTATCGCAGTTATTGAAATTGATTAGAACCATCAACTTTTACAGACATAATCCTCAATTTCTTCACTGAAATATTTGCAACATGCTATACCAATAATCTTACTGCACAGGTTATTGCAGTTGCGCTGTATAACAGATATTTAACTCCACATTTCCAAAAAGACATCAAGACCTTTACACAATCTACGAAATAGTCCATTCCATAGAGAATTTAAATAAGTATAAACTAACCTGATGTACTGTTTTCCACTGTAAAATGATGCAAAGAATCCAAGCAATGGATCATTGAGTGCATTTGGTTTAAGACATCCAATGAGCTTCGGTGTGATCAGGTGGCTGTTTATCACCACTCTTACAGCGCTGATGGACAACATTTCCTCAAGAAGACAATCTTCTGATTAACGAAATTAGACATTACGCACATACATTACCATATAATTAAGATAGGTTATTGCCCTAAACAGAAGTGTAACGTTTGGGGGGGAAAAATAACCTGCATCACAATACTCCCATTGCCATTCCATTACACCCCATTAACAGCTACATCATCCAAACGTAAGAACACACACACACAAACATACTGTACTTGTGTTTTTATCAGCAGCAAATTGAAAAAGATTCACAATAAAATACAAATTGCTAAAAATATGCTTTCTTCTCATATCTGTCACTCCACATTACAGTATAAACCAAAGTATTTTGACACATCCCATTGGCCAAACATCCTTCCGGTCCTTCCTCATAAAAAATGGATAACTCTTTGGTTCTTTCGGTAAAGTCACGTAGAAAGAAATTAAATAAAATAGAATACGACGTTTCGATTGCAACACAAGCAACAATCATCAGGTACAAATGAATGAGAAAAACAAACCTAGTAAACTTGGAAATATAATGCAATACAACACAGAGAGTCGGCTAACAAAACAGTCAACACCCAACCTGATTGATTGCGTTCTTCCAAAGATTGCTACATTTTAGAGAGAGAGAAAACATAGACACGGAGACACACAGACAGACACACAAGCAGAGACTCACACAGAGACAAACAGAGAGAGACACACACATGGGCACACAGAAAGACATCGTCTCTGTATCGAGGCCTTAAATAGAGAGAGGGGGGGTGGGGCAGAGGGGGAGTTGTGTGGAATTCCTGCCCATAGGGGGACGGACGAGCTGGACCCTGGACTTCTAAACAAGCACGGAGTGTTGTGTGGAATTACTGCCCATAGCGGCCGGAGGAGAGAATGGACCCATAAACAAGCACGGTAGAAAGCAAATTTAGTAAAATTAGGAAGTGTAATGCAATGCAACACAGAGAGTCGGTTAGCACACAGTTAACGCATAGCCTGGTTGATTACGTTCTTCCAAAGATTGCTAAATTAGAAGTGTGAAACAAACAAGCATGGCAAACCCTCCCCGTAGAGATGGTTTAAACTCGATTAGAAGCTTTCGTGATTGCAGGAATTAATATTCTTTGGGTCTTTCGGTAAAGTCACGTTGATAGGTTCAAAGAAAATAACAAAATAACAAAAAACTACGTTTCGATCACAACACAAGCGGTGTTGCGATCGATTTGTTATTTTCTTTGAACCTATCTACGTGACTTTACAGAAAGACCCAAAGAATATTGCAGATAATATTATACATTCCCAGAAGGCTGTGCGACTAAAGGGTTGTGTAAAAGATATACTTTTTTATGTAGAGGGGCACATGAGAAAAGACATATTGTCTGCTTATTTATTTGACGAAGTCTCCAAAATTATGCTCATGATTGTTTTGTGTCATGTGATACAATATCTCTTTGGTTTCTTAGTAAACATTACGTGCTTACACATTTCCTACTATCCAAAGCACATTAATTGGTATATAAATTATCATCCTTATACCACATTTTATAACGTTACATAATGAGTGGTAACTTAGTTGATACTAAAATATATTTTGTAAAACATTTTGATCTCTGAAATTACCTATTTCGGTGTAGTTACTCCACTTGAGGCCAACAGTTATTGAATATTCTCCTGGTTTGTAAATATGTTCCTTAGAATCATATAAGTATTTTTCTCTTATGTCCACTTCAGATAACGGGTTTGAGCTACACCTGGAGAAAATCACCATGCAAAATTAGATTACAACGAATGAGCATTAAATCAGTTTATTACTGAATATATGTTACTTGACATATGATAATCACCCTAAATCTATTTTAAACTAATTATTCGGTGAAACTGCGCTGGCAGCAGTGCACAAGTACAAATAACAAAAACATTCAACACGTTTGTCAATAATTGTGTGCGGCCTGAAAAAAATATAAAGGGACGTTTTGGGGAATGGCCCTTCTTCATGGCAATTAAAAAGAGACGTCAGAGATGGTGAAACAAAGTTGGGGATTGCACTATATTTTTTTGATGTTTCTGTAACTTTATGTAACTTAATTTGACAAATTAATTTCACCATGAATGGAATTTAAATGCATCCAAGCCAACTTTTGTTCGTGAAATTGTATTTCATTTAATATCATGTTCATGCACTGTTTTGTAACACATTTTATCTTGCTCTGATTTGTATTTAAGTTGTTTTTACTCTGATTTCTATTTTCTTGTTTGAATGTATGTATGATATAGATTTTGTCATTTTGATGACCCATGTCACTCTTGCAAATCAGACAAAGGTATCCTTGTCGTATAAGTTCTCACTTGGTTAAACAAAACAAACTTGACTCATCTCAAGAGACAGATACATAAAATACTAACCAATTGTGATCTGCTTATTGTCAAATGAATGTGGCACTGCCCTATACATGTTAGGATTGTCGCAATGTCATATATCACAATAAGATACTAAATAAAGGTTGATGATTATTATAATTATTGCGATCTAAGTGTGCCATAACTTTGTATTATGTATTGATCAAGATGTCATCATGGCTAAAGGAGTTTGATGCCAACACCTCCAAAAAAACTAATGAAAAAAATGAATTAAAATGTATTTGATCTGATCGTCAACATTGGCAGGAAATTAAGATTATGTATTTAGAACTTCTTTGACACCGTACGTAGCCAAGCGTGCTATTCGGAGATGCGGGGGAAGAACTAAACACAAAAGGCTTGTCATTTCATTTTTAAATAAAAATGCCTGGTTACATTTAATCTCCATATGTTAAAGACAATACTACCGTACACATTACCTTAAACAAAATGATTACATTAGGGATTAAAACATCTTGGTTAAATAATGTGCAATGGTCTCTTGCTTCGTTTGCTTAGGGTGTATTATTATTGTATGTAATGTACTTAGCGCTTGCACGCTGGATTAACACCCACCTTCTTACCCTTAAATAAATTGCTCCACTCCTTGCTGTAGAACATTTCTCAATCATCAATTATCCCATGAAATATTCTACACAAATTAACTTTCCTTTACACTAAATGAAATCAATTCACGCAGTGAGTTAACTGATAGGAGAAAGGAACAATTAAGTCACGCCGTTCAGAACTGAGCTAAGCCCCATTTTTTGTGATATGCTGAGGCAAACCGAAGTCACGAGGATGGGCAGAACTTGCTTGGAGAGACAGGGGTGCAGTGAATGCAATGCTTTTCCACTGGAATCTCTACCAGTCAGAGGGATCAGTATTCTAGAAGGATGGATGCAAATGCCATTGTCTATTGTGGAAACATTGCAGTTTTACCAAAACAATTACAGCAAGGTGCACATATATTATTACTTTGGGATGTTGCAGCACAGGCAATGTTAAAATCAGGCCTTCACTTACCAGTAAATAACATATCATAGTTAGAGCGATGAATAAACAATGTGCAACACTTACTCCTTGAACAGGAACTCTTCTATATTGCTGTGGCTCTTTTGCCCTCCCCAGTGTATGACTTCATTTTCCAGTGATAGCGGTTTCCCTTGAAAAAACACGGAGCTTTAATCAACTTGCTGTCACTTTAATATTTCGGGTTCACACTTGATTACTCAGTGTAACGGGAAACTTAAGTGAACACGCAGACACTCGGGGTGCATAAAGAGGGTGCAGCTCACGCCTCTTGACATATTTTAAACAGCTGCATTTGAATAACCACTATCCACGTAATTTTCTTCCCAATTATTTTCAGTACAATTCATGTAGTACAATAAGAGGCGAATGGGTCTGTAATTTTTTAATTCTGTATCGTGAACAGAAATAATCCGCGGATGGAGTTATTTTATTTACGTGGCAACAATTAGTGAATACTCTTTGGTTATTTCGGCAAAGTCACATAGGTAGAAAACTAATTGATCACGACGTTTCGATCGCAACATAAGCAATCGTCATCAGGTGGGACAGCCACAGCAAGAAAAAACTGTATTTTGTCTACTCTTCTACACGAATCAGACGTCTGGGCAGAGGTGAGCGTACCCACACTGCGCTCTACTCATTGATTCTGATGTGTAGATGAGCGGGTTGGGGGCTTAATTGACCATCATTGTTCGCCCGTACACTGCGTGGCGACCCATTAAACCGCGGCAGCTTCCTTCGTTTCTCAGTGAAGAAGCTTCAGACACATTTATGTTTGTTGCTCTCGACATTTGATCCTTATGGCGGAACCCCGGGGTACCAAACAATACAAAATGCCCGAGGCAATTAAATATGTTAGTTCTGGGACACTTTCTCTTCCAGGGGGTGTTCTTCTTAACTCCGCGACTGCGGTACCAATCAATCCGCAATCAATTCGCAATCAGTGCTGAAATCAGTGCTACTCCGCGATGTAGAAACGCCAAACATGAGCATGACAAAGTCAGTTTTAGAAAAGTAAAACTTGGTTTAGTGCATCGTGTCGAGCTCGTCGAGAGCAGTCGACGGGCGCATCGGCGACCTTCGCCAGAGACTGACACCGACTGCGCCAGGCGCCGCCATGCGGGTCACTGCCACGTGCACGGCGACTGCTCACCGGGTCTCCTGGGGGTTCCACATGCAGCTATACACTATGTAACCACCCAAAGTACGTACACAGTGACAATGTATGAACAACTTACATTGCGTCCATGGAGTTCCACAAGTGATGTGCGCATGTCTTGTGTCTTTCGAAATAAATTGTAATCCTTCAAGGTACGGAACTGAAACTTTTAGTCTATTAAAACAACTTTTTTCTTCTGTTCCAACCTGTAAAAAGATAAACTATTCAGTGTATTCGCGTAGTATTCAAGTAATTTGTGTCGTAAGACCCTCCGCCACCCGACATAGCCAAATCGAATTGTCACGCTTACAATCGTTTAATGCACCAATTGTTAAGCTCACCGGTGAGTTTAACAACAATGATCACAACCCAATGTAGCAATTCGATCCTTCGTGTTAAAACATTTCTTTAAAATGTGTCTGCCACTGAAAAGCAAGATGATTTAATTCAAGGTAGGACCGAATATCAATTTGATTATCGATAATAATATCGACGGCCTTCGAAATGATGCGTTCTGTGATCTTGCTGCGAGGACGTAGCAGAGGTAATGGAAGTGTGATGTTGTTATTGTCATGCGATGTTGTTACTTGATGGCCTGAGTGGTGTTACTGTGGGTGATGTTTACTGTGACTACGTAAGCGATGTTTGTGTGGTGATGTGAGTGATGTTTGTGTGGTGAGGTGAGTGCTGAGAGTGATGTTTGTGTGGTGATGTGAGTGATGTTTGTGATGTGAGTGATGTTTGTGTGGTGATGTGAGTGCTGTGAGTGATGTTTGTGTGGTGATGTGAGTGATGTTGCTGTGGTGATGTGAGTGATGTTTGTGTGGTGATGTGAGTGATATGGGTGATGTTTGTGATGTGAGTGATGTTTGTGTGGTGATGTGAGTGATGTTTGTGATGTGAGTGATGTTTGTGTGGTGATGTGAGTGCTGTGAGTGATGTTTGTGTGGTGATGTGAGTGATGTTGCTGTGGTGATGTGAGTGATGTTTGTGTGGTGATGTGAGTGATATGGGTGATGTTTGTGATGTGAGTGATGTTTGTGTGGTGATGTGAGTGATGTTTGTGATGTGAGTGATGTTTGTGTGGTGATGTGAGTGATGTTTGTGATGTGAGTGATGTTTGTGTGGTGATGTGAGTGATGTTTGTGCTGTGAGTGATGTTTGTGTGGTGATGTGAGTGATGTGGGTGGTGTTTGTGATGTGAGTGATGTTTGTGTGGTGATGTGAGTGATGTGGGTGGTGTTTGTGATGTGAGTGATGTTTGTGTGGTGATGTGAGTGGTGTTTGTGATGTGAGTGATGTTTGTGTGGTGATATGGGTGATGTTTGTGCTGTGAGTGATGTTTGTGTGGTGATGTGAGTGATGTGGGTGATGTTTGTGATGTGAGTGATGTTTGTGCTGTGAGTGATGTTTGTGTGGTGATGTGAGTGATGTGGGTGGTGTTTGTGATGTGAGTGATGTTTGTGTGGTGATGTGATGTTGCTGTGGTTACCACGTGATAGCAGTCCACTGCGAGGAAACGTGGCATCGCAAAGACACCGGGGGTCACCTCGCGCCTCCCGTGAACACACCACCACCACCTCGTGTGAACACACCACCACCTCACGTGAACACACCACCACCACCTCGCGTGAACACACCACCACCTCCCGTGAACACACCACCACCACCTCGCGTGAACACACCACCACCTCACGTGAACACACCACCACCTCGTGTGAACACACCACCACCTCACGTGAACACACCACCACCACCTCACGTGAACACACCACCACCTCACGTGAACACACCACCACCACCTCGCGTGAACACACCACCACCTCACGTGAACACACCACCACCTCGTGTGAACACACCACCACCTCACGTGAACACACCACCACCACCTCACGTGAACACACCACCACCTCACGTGAACACACCACCACCACCTCGCGTGAACACACCACCACCTCACGTGAACACACCACCACCTCGTGTGAACACACCACCACCTCACGTGAACACACCACCACCACCTCACGTGAACACACCACCACCTCACGTGAACACACCACCACCACACGTGAACACACCACCACCTCACGTGAACACACCACCACCTCTTGTGAACACACCACCACCTCGCGTGAACACACCACCACCTCACGTGAACACACCACCACCACCTCACGTGAACACACCACCACCTCACGTGAACACACCACCACCACCTCACGTGAACACACCACCACCTCACGTGAACACACCACCACCTCACGTGAACACACCACCACCACCTCACGTGAACACACCACCTCACGTGAACACACCACCACCTCACGTGAACACACCACCACCTCACGTGAACACACCACCACCACCTCACGTGAACACACCACCACCTCACGTGAACACACCACCACCACCTCACGTGAACACACCACCTCACGTGAACACACCACCACCTCACGTGAACACACCACCACCTCACGTGAACACACCACCACCACCTCACGTGAACACACCACCTCACGTGAACACACCACCACCTCACGTGAACTCACCACCACCTCACGTGAACACACCACCACCTCACGTGAACACACCACCACCTCGTGTGAACACACCACCACCTCACGTGAACACACCACCACCACCTCGCGTGAACTCACCACCACCTCACGTGAACACACCACCTCGCGTGAACACACCACCACCACCTCGCGTGAACTCACCACCACCACCTCACGTGAACTCACCACCACCTCACGTGAACACACCACCTCGCGTGAACACACCACCACCACCTCACGTGAACACCCCACCACCACCTCGCGTGAACACACCACCACCTCACGTGAACACACCACCACCTTACGTGAACTCACCACCACCTCACGTGAACACACCACCACCACCTCACGTGAACACACCACCACTTCACGTGAACACACCACCACCACCTCGCGTGAACACACCACCACCACCTCACGTGAACTCACCACAACCTCACGTGTCACCACCACCTTGCGCCCTCACGTGAACCCAGGGGTCATGTGCCACCGCCTTTTCGCGCCAAATTACGCGGGTCACGTGTCACCACCATCTCGTGCCCCACGTTGATACACAGGTCACGTGTCACCCTCCCGAGCCCACGTGACCCTACGGGGCACGTGTCACCGGACTTCGTTGGAGTGCATAAAACAAGCAACTATTGACCGGTTTCTACATTCTCATCAGCAGTCTCGCTTGAATCAATGCTGGAGAACTGCTAAATGTCAAGGATCATTTTAATATATATCGAAGTCGACGAAAACTATATAATACATAACACATTATCATTAGCGACGTGAACAATATATATAACATTAGGTTCTAGCAACCCTAATTGATGATAAAACACTGAACGTCAAAATTGGCCCAGTTTTCTTGTGTTGAACCAGTGCTGATGGGGTTCTCACTTTCAGGAGGCCATGTAGCTGATGGGCGATATGAAATATACTTTTTTTTCAAATACTGTACGTGGAGACGTATCGTCTGCTCTTGTTACGTATATTTTTCACAACGCCTGCTTACTTTGTGTTGTGTACATCTCCATATATATAAAAGGCAAAGTTGTGAATGTGTCTGTTCAAAATGTTTTGCGTACTTCCCGACATGCAAAATAAAAAAAACTTTTGGTTTTTTTTGAGGGGGGGGGGGGGAGCTCAATAATGTATATATTTTTTGCACGGCAAGTGAGCTGACGTCAAATCTGTCACGTGACCCGCACATGTGGAGGCGTAACGCATTTTAGTGTAGCGGGTAGCGCGCCGCGCTACGAGCCCGGCGACCCGAGTTCGATTCCCGCTCACGGCCACCACCGGTGACGATTATTTGAACCGGTCCTGGGTCTCCCCCTAGGTCGACTCAGCCTCAAACGAGTAACTGGTGTGGTGTGAACATCGCCAATGGAGAGACAAAGGCGGCCAGGTGTGGTGAATCCAAGTCCCGGGTAGTAAAGCTAGCACAATATAAGCAAGCGCTACTATTGCTTAATATTTTGGTTCTTCTTCTTGGTTCTTTCGGTAAAGTCACGTAGAAGGGAAGTAATAAAATAATAAAAATAAAACATAATAAAATCATTCTCACGACGTTTCGGCCACAACGCAAGCAGCCGTCCTCAGGTGAAGAACAGGTCTGTCAGAAAGACAGCGTCTGAATGAGTTCATCCCTGCAGTCACGAAAGCTTTAAATCGAAATTTTGGTTCTTGCTCATTATTTTGGCTATTGCTCATTGTGAACGTTTTCTAGAGTCAATGACAATTTACTCACACCAATGTGCATTGTAAGGGATATCTATGGATTGTAATAAATTCCATTTAGAATATTTATGGCAGTGTTATGTTGAGTCAACTGCGAATGCATAACTTTTCACTTATATTTATTCCTTCTAGAAGTACATCAACATACAAAACAATCCAACAAAATGCAATACAATAACATTATTGGGATTGATATTGTGATAGTCATATGAAATGTAAGAATTGTTACGTATTGTGATTGCAGGAACCCGACTAGGCCCCGGCAATGATATTGATGGTGAGGTTAGTAATGGTGAACATCGTCGTGATGATAGGCATTGGCTGATGATAGGCTCGTTGAGAAGCAGCTAAAACTTCCCATGATCGTGTTCACCTCAGCTTATTTTACAATACTGCCCACATTTCCTGCGTTTGATTTTGACATAATGGATCTTGGGAGTAGTCGAGGAGGTCTCCATTCCACATTCCAATGCCACGGAGCCCACGTGACCTCCCGTAAGCGGCCTTGATTGCGAGGCTCTTGGGATCGTCGTACCACAGCTGGTGGATTGCACCTTTGCGATTCTGTGGGGAAAAATAACGCAGGATCACACACAAGCTGCCCATCAACACCAAGCTCCACTGAGCCTGAAAAAGCCTGAAGTATATCAGGCGAAGCTGACGTCAAATAAGGTTTCAATGAACTGAACTACTGCCATTGTAGACTGCAGCTACTTATTGTTCCCTCATTCAGCAGCTGCTGGTGTGCGTGGGAAAGCACTGCAGAATCCACGTGGATACATGATTTTTTGGCCTTGTTTATTTTTTCTAGAAAACCTTTAAAACATCAAAATCCTACCCCAAAGCACAACTACCACAGTAATTGACAACCATTCAGTCCCGGTAAATAGCAATAAAAAAACTCACCACAGCAAAACACGGCGTGAGGTGTTTTTAACAGATCGCATAACTTTCCAGGCGTTACAATACCTTATATGTGAAGTATGGAGCTTTCTGTTTGTCGTCCCACTGTGGCACCGTGTGCGACTCATTAAGCATCCTCACGATGCGTTTATACGCGATTTGTTTTCCCGCTGCATCACTACATGGCGCCCCACGGAATGGCACCTTGGGAATGGAGCAGACTGCATGCTGGGAACATAGACAAATAATGCTATCACATTTGAGATAGAGCAGCTCAGTGTCAACCTTTTGGTGGGGTAAAGTGTGGGTTATTACATCTTACAACAAGTCTTGTCAGTGTGGAAGAGTAGACCAAGTACCCTCTCGAGTTACCTCTTGTGGAGGCCCTTGCGCTACCAGTGGCATGAGTGAGCGATTAGAGCTGTACCTCTACATTTTAACTATTAAATCTTGACTTAAAGCTTTCGTGATCTTAATCAGAATGACGATCGCTTGTGTTGTGATTGAAACGTCGTAGTTTTTTGTTATTTTTTTTGTTATTTTCTTTTAACCTCTCTATGTGACTTTACTGAAAGATCTAAATAATGTTTTAACTATTATCACGTGTGACATGGGACGCCATGCCATTTGTGTGTTCAAACGTGCCAATCAGTGCATGATCTGCACTTCCAATCAACACGGTCGGCTACATACGGTGCAAAAGAAGTTCAACATACATACATACATTACATTCCACGCAAAACGGGTTACCGGTGCCTGCTTTTCTGAAACGGTAACTGAATTGTGCAAATGGTTATCGGTTTACCCGTTATTGGTTAACAACATGAATATGTACACTAAGCGAGGCTCTGCTGGACATCAACGCATTATTTTCATCTCATCTGCAGCTGCTGTTACCTCGGACAGGTTCAGGCAGGGGTAGTCGTAACCATACCAGGGAATGCCCATCACAAGCTTCGCAGGCGCGATGCCAAGATAAATGTATTTCTCATAGCCTAAACAAACAAAACAAACGATGCGGGTAATTCAACTCAACAACCAGCAAACACCACTCACGTGACAATACACGCTTGATAGACAAGATGCCTCCTTCACTCACAGATCTGTTCCTCCATGTAGAAAATAAAAGTATTGTTTACACATCTTGTCGAGCTAGAGCCCATGTCTCTATGTATGTTTAACTTATTTCCCCCACTGAATGTAGCCAACTGTGCTAATTGGAGGCATGGGGGAAGGACAACAAACTTAACACAAAATGCAGTTCTAAAGAAATTAGTTTTCAATTTAGATATAAAAGTGCATAGCTCCAGCTGCTTCCTAATATGAGACAAGAGTTCCAGATGGCCGCAGAAGCGCATCTGTAAGTGTGCGATGCAGTGACCGTCTTTGTTTGATGATTATCCAAAAGCCGTTGTGAGGATGACCGGAGTTTGTGATGGTTCATGACCTTGACGAGATCAGCAAGGTATTGTGGTTCATTTGTGGCAAGCACTTTGTGTGTTATGCCTATAAACATCTGGAAATTCATCGACATTGGTTCAAGCTAGCCTGACTGCTGTTGAGACACTCAATGTAGAAACTGGACCAGAGTTTGCTTGTACAGTATTATGCTGCTAGAATTATGCACTCTCAGAAGGTCATGTGGCTGATGGGATGTATAACATTTTATGTGGAGAAACAGGTATGGGAAGGTGTATTTTTGATTATTTTCTTATATTATGCACTATGACGCAAGTATGTTGCATTGTCAAACATTGGTGCATCTCACCTTGCACAGTTTTAACATATGGTGCATTAGCCATAGCTATGCAATCTTCCCAGATCTGACTCTGCATGTCGTAGGACATCACAAAGAGGAAATCCACAGCTTCTGCGATGGCTGGGTAATCATAGCAACGTCCATCGATGCAGTCAGGAGACCAAGCAACATCAAATGTCACCTTTAACCACACACAAATGCAAAACAAAATATCAAGTTCCGGTGAGGAGCTTGATTGGAAATAATGTACAGTATTCAATAAATTAGCATATATAAATATCTGTGTAAACGTGACAATCTTGTCAGGTGGTGGAGGGTTAATGAAAATAATTTTGGCATAAAACTACCACGTGGCTATGAAAATATACCTTTCATGTGAGAGAGAGAGAGGTGTTTTGACCTGCAGTATGGTTGAGTGCGTGGGTGAGTGCAGGTGTTGGGAGCAGTAGTGTAGCTACAAACTTGGCAACCCGAGTTTGATTCCCTCTTATAGCCAACACCAGTAACGGTTATCTGAACCAGTCCTGGGCCTTCCCTAGGTCAACTCAGCCTCAAATGAGTACCTGGTGCTGTGTGCAAACATTGCCACTCGGGAGACAAAAGTGGCCGGGCGAGGTGTTGGCCACCCACCCCCTCGTGTGCCGTGCCAGCCTTCAAAGGTGATTTTCATGAACAGCACTTGCCCCAACAGTCTGATAAGGCTATATGGGAGATATCTGTCTTCGTGTAGTTCTGACCTTCAGTATGAAAGTTGATCAGTGTCGTTGAGATTAAACAGTTATGAGGATCAAAGGATCGTGTTAAAACAAGGATCGATTCTTGAATTGAATACCGTCCCTGAATTGTGAGAGGTATTGAATCACCGCCTTCAAAAATTGCTACAGCCCCAATTCAAACCCCCGGCAAGGCGAACGGCGTTTGTGACTCGGGGCCCAGGGGTGGTGGCGGCGAACCTGCGAGCCGGGGATTTGCGAGTGGAAGGCGGCGGTGGTCTCACGCGCCAGCGCCGTGAGGGCTGCGCGCGCTGCGCTCGAGTTCCCCACCGCCGCCTCGATGTCCAAGTTTATCCCATCCATGAAGTGGCTCTGTGCGAGCACCACCTGTTGCTGCACCCAGCGAGCCCTCGCCGCGGGTTCCACCACACTCTGCACGTCCACATCCCCTGCAGGCACAGGCAGCAGCGTTACATACGCTCATCTAAAACTTACAACTCACATGCACATTCTTTCAGTTAAAATATTTCGTATGGAAAAATCCCGTGAGATGAAACACCTCCTATACGAGTGTCCACACAATTATATGTGCAGTATACAAACGTTGTGACCGAGTTCAAGGGTTGGATGTTGAGGATGGGTGATGTGGTTGAGGGGCTGATGGTGCAGCTGTCATTCTGCGGTGTTAGTGCGTGGTGCTGTTGTGGGGAGGAGGTTCCGCAGCAAATTTCATGTCGGGTGAAGGGTGAATGGGCTATGGAGTGCTGCGGTGTGCGAGTGAGGAGTTTTGTTAAGCGTCTAGATTTCAAAATGAAGGAAACAGTTATTGGCTACTTACGGTGTGAAAGAAGTTCAACATACAGTACATACATTCTAGGGGAACCAATAGACCAAGAGATGGAGACCAGCAGGCGTTTGTAGACACCCCGCAGGATATGCAAATGTGAATATTTGTGGATCGGTGGGAACGTTTCGGTACTGGGGAGTGGGCACAGGATTGAGTTGAAGACTTCATAAACACCAGAAGCGGCTAAAAGTCTGTATTGGAGCAGCCGAGAGGGCACTCGAAAAGGTTTTGGAACAGTGCAGGAAAGCGTAGGAAATGTAACCCAAGAAAGCGGGAGAAAGTGATCGCCTGGCTCGGCCCAGCGAGGGTGGTATCCGCGGTGTGAGTGGCAGCAGGGTGGCAGCAGGAGGTTTCATACAATGGCATCAAGTCAGTGTTTCGTGAAAGTGTATACATAGTAAATAGTGTAGTTGTGCAGAATTGATTAAACTTACATATATTTAGGGGCTTGCAGTGTTTTATGACTTTGCTTTATTATCAAGCCAATGAGTGCTCTATTTCTTGCTCTTTGAGAAGTTACCTTTTAAAACAACGCGAGCCCCCTTTGAGTGAGCATAGCACATGAGCTCTGCATCAAACCCGCTGAAGATGGCCACCGTTGTGACTTTAGTCCAGTCATACAACATCCAATCTTTACCTCCAACATGGAACACGTACACCTGTAAAATACAGCGTGAGCCTCATCCCCAGCAACCACAATGTACTAACATGTTTAACCTGCAAATACGGAGGGCAAGTCGATCTTATCGCCCGCAATGCTCTGAGCCGGACTAATCAATCTTTATTTAGACTGGAGGAATCCGATGAGCCATGATGCGCTTTTCCGTAGATGTCCACTTGGGGCTGGTAAGAAAGTTACAACAAACAATACAAATAACGATAAGAGTACAAAGTAGAGAAAACGTAAGCAAGTCACTAAAATAAATATGAATAAGGCGTATAAGTATAAATTGCATAGTACATACATTCTTGACGATTTTTCAACACTAAATGCAATCTCGGGCCAGGCAGCCAGACAACAAACAGTCCCAGACCACTCCAAAACAACACACAGTCCCTCAATAAGATGGATCGATGCACGGGTAATGATCAAAGTTACAAATCACATTTGCAAAAAATCTGACACCCGCCGAAATCACCCATCAAGCGACCTGCCCACGTGTGGAAGAGTGTGGTCTCTCTGCCCACGTGCGGTCGTGTGCACCTGAAGCGAGGCGCCAGGTGCAGTCACCATTCAAGTTCATCGTCAATCCGACAAAGCCACCAGCCACCCCGCGGGCGCACTCGCCTCATAGGCCGGAGTGAGTGACGGCGGGAGGCACAGAGTCTGCACCGGGCACGGGCACGCGGCGCCGCGTTCCTCTCCGCCCGCCGCGCGCAGCAGCAGAAGCAGCGGCAGCAGCAGAAGCAGAAGCGGCGGCGGCGCGCACCGCGACTCCATCCCAGGGGTCAACTTCCGCGCTCCCCGCGCCGTCGTCACGCGCTCCGATACCCGTGACGTCATCGTGCGGAGCCCGTTCCCCGACTACGTCATGGCCATCGACATAAATAAAGACCTTACTTTATTTAAACAGTGGGGGGGTTACTGCATGCATAATGTACGTGGACTTAATAATCCTCCCCCCACTTTGCACAAGAGCGCAGAAGCGTGGGCAATAAAACAGGTGTTAAGATGTCCGAACACCAAATAGAAACATTTTGCAAGGAATAAAGTCTACATTAACCACACGTACTTGTGGTGAACATGCAAACAAATATGCTCTGATAAAGCATGGCTTTGCTAGATAAATCATTCTGAATATACTGTGTATATAGTATTAATATCATTAACTCGAGCAGCCTGTCGGATTTGAACTCTAAATGTCTGCAACAAGTGGCAAATAATCTACTTCTGGGCCATATCACTGCCCCAACGGTCAGATTGAAGTGGTTTGACGTGTAACACAAGGCTTGTGAAAAATAGCTTAAAAGCTCATCACATTCCTCGAGGATAAAGAAAGATTCTGATTCTGCAGTGAGAGGTAGATTTTCTTTATTGGAATTCACGGTGCAGTTCCCACCGTTGCACTGTGGTGAGATGGCACTGTGTGTTGCAGTGTATAGCATTGTCGCACTGGTGAGACGTCACTATGTATTACACTGTGTGGGGGAGCAGTAGTGTAGCGGTTAACGCGTTGCGCTATGAACCCAGCAACCGAGGTTCATTTCCCACTCACGATAAACACCAGTCACGATTATATGAACTGGTCTGGACATCCCCTGGGTCGACTCAGCCTCAAATGACTACCTGGTGCGGTGTGTAAACATTGCCACTGGGTAGACAAAGGTGGGCATGGTACTGGCCACCCACCACCTCGTGTGCCGTGCCGGCCTTCGTCTGTGCTTGCCAACAACACTTGTCTCGTCTGTTAAGGCTATACCGGGGGTTTTTGTCTGTCTAGTGTTGACTGCACTGTCGTGAGACATCGCTGTATTATTTATGAATTGTGATAGCTTTTGGTTTGTACTTTTTGTTTTGGTGCCATTTCTTAATTTTTTTTATTTTTGCTTTTGCTTAGTAGTAGGGTTTTCATTTGCTTAGTATGTGTTGGCTTCTTTCGCGCTGTGTGTAGCTAACCGCATATATGGGATTGGTATTTATGTATAATTGTACAGCATTTTAGGATGCTGTTGGGATGCATGACGCAATATAAAATGAAATTATTATACTGTGTGTTGCACTGTGTGCTACTCTGTGGTAAGACATCACTGTGTGTTGCACTGCGGCTTGTCCTCAGTGTTCCCCTCAGAGCTCAGGGTGCAGATCTCTCTCCGCACACACTTCTCGTGATCCAGCAGCCGAGCTGGCTTTTGGTACTGAGGAAAGAAGCAGAGTGGTGTCATGTGAGTGCCCGGACCTCCGATTAGCACGGTTGGCAACATATGGTGCGAAAGAAGTTCTACATAGATATATACGCAGTGACATAGCGCTGACTGTTGTACAGCAGCTGCAACTGCAGGTAGACACTTAGCGCACACGCCGTTGAGCATTTACACTGGGTGTATGTGTCGGCAGGGCGGAGGAACTGGGGCAAGGGTCATGGTAGACCTCGTGGGGAAACCCCTGGGACCCTCTGGCGGGTTCGAGAAGGGAGGCGCGGCTAGGACGGAGCCAAGCCGCGCCGAGGGGAATAAAAGCAGCGGAGAACGAGAGCTCCAGGCTGCTGGTTCTGGGAGTGGTCTCGTCGTCGCTGACGTTGTCGCCGCCTTCGCCCGATCATTGCGCAGCCGGACAGTAGTTGGCTGTCTCGGTCGACGGGGTTGGTGCAACGTGGACAGGGTCGTGTCTGGGCCGGGTCATGCGGCAGCTTGGTCGTGAGAGAGGGGGGGCCGGAGTTGGTGGCGTGAACACAACAATAAAAGAACGGTGCCTCCTGCGACTACCTCGTCTCCGACTGAGTGTGTGTGTGCCACACACACACAAGCCTCGAGCAGAAGGAAGAAGAGACCTACGACACTACACAAACATATGTGCTGTGTTGGTGTAGTGCGGTATGGTGTTAATATAGTATAGTGTGTTGTTGCACATGTTGTTGGTTGTGTTGTAGTGTTGTGGTTCACCTTCACAATGAGTGTGTGGTTCTTATGACTGAAGGACACGGCCTCTGGGTCTAGTAGCAACTCCAAGCGATCCAGATCTGGGATGGAGAGTCGCTTATAGTACCTGCACCCCCATCAACACCATCACTTTCAACATTAATCTTAACAGTACCACCATTCATAATAGTACCACCATCATCACCATCAACACTATTACCACCATCAACACTATTTCCACCATAAACACCACCAACGCCACAATACATCTGTAGAGATGTACGCAGTGCGCGCAGTTGAGCAATTGAGGACGAGCAGGTGTGCGCATGGGGGCAGGTTGGCGCCGGAGAGACGGGAGATGGGGGCGATGATTAGGGATTAATGAGTGCGAGAGGCCTCTAGTAGAGGCGACAGCTTAAGTGGGGAGCACGTGAGGACTCGGAATGAGGAGGGGTATATAAGCGGGAGTGTGCGTGAGCAAAGTTGAGTTGTTCGGGGACCAAGAGAGAAGACATCTCGCCGCTGCCGCTCGAGACGTCAGCGGGACCTCGCCCCTCACGCCGTCGCCGGGCGGTGTTGGCTGAAACCCCCGCCCGGGACAGACGGGTGAGTGGGTACGGGGCAGCGTAGGAGAGGGCAGTGGCGAGATAGGAGAGAGTAGGTGAGGTGCAGAGTAGGTGAGGTGCGGAGTAGATGAGAGCGGGTAGTAGGAGAAGCAGTGTGTGGTGACAGTGGAAGGCAGTCATAGGAGTGCCTACAACGGGTGCTAGAGGATTAATAAAGTGTAAGCAGGTGACTTGTTACTCTGTGTCAGTGTAATTTCGAGACACTACACATCCATCGTGAATGTGAACCACACAATAATCACCATCACCTCTATCTTCGTCATCACCATAAACACCATCCAACCATCAATATTACCCACATCAGAGGTCAGCAACTGACGCAGGGTATAGAGTGTCATGTGTGTGTGCTGACCAGGGCCACAGCATTTTGTGTGTTTCTTAGCCATATCTAAAATTATTGGGGGAGTCAAGGAACCTACAATGATAATAAACAATATATAGTGCAAATATTTATCACAAATAAGATGCATTATTGGATCGAGAACTCTTGAGGTGCAAAGCCAGGACTCAAAGTCCCTTATATGCCATCCTCATCAGGTGAGAGCCTGGGCATGTAAAAGCCTGGACAGCCGAGTCTAGATAGGTGAGAGACCGAACAGGTGATAGCCTGAACAGATGGCAGCATGAACAGGTGAACCTTGAGCTGCTGCTTTAAGGTGGATGGTGCTTGGATGCTGCATATGTGCAGTGGGAAGAACATTCCAGATGGCTGCTGGTTCAGCGAAGGAGAAACGCCGCTCAGTTAGAATAGTCCCGGTACTTGGTAAGATGAGCAGATTATACGTGCTCCATAGAATGTGGTGGTTTTCTGTGGTCAGTGGAGTGAGAAGGGTGGAGAGGTATGAGGAGAGAACTTAAAAAGATCTTGGTGGTATACAGGATAGTAATGTACTGGAGCCTTGATTTCATGGGGAACCAGTGGAAAGTGTTTAGTGGCTAAGCCCCTGCTGATCCCCACACACTCACTTGTGGTTGGAGGTGCTGATCACGAGGTTATTGTTGGTGCTGTCTACACACACGGAGAACACGTGTTGAGGATAGGGCACATTCCTCACACGCCACCATAGCTCCTCCCGTGTCTCCCCGCGAACACACACGGGCTGAGACATGGGAACATAGTGTGGCGACAGGGACACAGACATGATGTGGAGACACGGGTAATGGGAACACGGGGGAACATGGGGGAACCCGGTGTGGGGGTGTGGGGGCATGGGGACACAGGAACACGGAGAGGTGAATGCACACGGCGTAGACTGCAGAGACACAAGCCAGAACATGGGTCGTCATGCAGGTGAAGTTATGGGGGGTCATGTGGGTCAGCTGAGGGACCCACAGCGGCTGCGCTCTCCTTGAGCGTGTCGACTGATGATGGCGATGGGCCGGGCTCCCCCACCTCTGTCTCCCAGGCCCAGGGCGCCCCGAGCATAGAGCGCACACGCCACCTACGCACTGATACATATACACACAGATACAAACAGATGCACATTGACACACATACATACATACAAACAAAAAATATCCCACGTATAGACTTCAACAAACTGTTGGGGCAAGTTCTGTTGACGAATACCTATTAAGGCTCCCACAGCACACAGAATCTGAATCTTTGTTCATTCTAGATAAATCAGATGACCTACGATGAGTACAAAGCATAGGAAAGGTAAGCAAATCGCAAAAAAAGGCTGAGTCGACCTAGGGGAGGATTCAACACCAGTGCAAATATTCACGACTGATGTTATCCATGAGTGGGACTCGATATCCGGCCGTCGGGTTCATAGCACAGTTCGCTAACTGCTGCAATTCCGCACCCAGATATACAGACACAATTTCTGATTTCGATTATTAAAATAAATATTTTGGATTAAGTATAATACTCTTATATAAGCGCACAACTTTATCTATCTGTGATGAACGCTGCACTTTCCGTAGTTTTTATGTAGCGGGCGCAGCAAACCTACGCGCCCCCTGCATGAAAGACGGAGGCGCAGGGACAGACGTTCGATTACGTTGGAATCGATCTGCAGACAGCGGTCTTCTCGCACGGCCAGCAGCTCTATGTCGCCTTATCTCGATCCCGCAATCCCAAACAGGTGAAAGTCCGCAACGAACCGAACCCCCGGCAAGGCCATCTACTTAACGACGAGAGAAAATTCACACGAAATGTCCTTTTCAATGAAGTCTTCCAGATGTAAAATGATATAAGCTTTTAAGGAAGAAATACAATTATCTAATACAAAACATAATACAATTTAAAGATGTTTCATTTTAAAACTTCAAAACGGGGCATCGGGTGTTTGCGTGAATGCGTCGTTCGTGTGCATTTTTTTGTGGCTTTCCTGGCCGAATGATATATGAATGATATATGTCTATGTCTTCAGGCTCACAAAGTGACGTCACTTGACACTCCTCAACCTAGGTGTTGATAAAGGTGATGGTGATTATGAGAATGATTAAATTAATAATTTCATGGTGTTGGAAGTTGATGGTGATGCTGGGGTGTTAAAGGGGTGGTGATGATCATGGTGATGATCATGATGATATTGAGAGTCCATACACATCAGCAGCTCTGTGATGACATCGTATTCCTCAATCATCTCGCGGCCATCTTCAAACGAGTAGTGGATCCTTCGCCTGCCTGGACAGACATGAAACCAGTGGACGACTCAACCACAATTCAACCAAAAGCCCTCCGCAATGCCACCCTCGTATTGAAACCCACCTCCTCTCCCTTGCCCATCCTACTACTTACTCCCTGCCCCCGTCCCCAGCTACGACCAGGCTGACCCCAACCCCCATCACTACCCCTACTGCCTACACCTATCCTCCTGTCGCCATGACCACACCACCACTTTTCATAACCCCACTTGATTTTAACCACTACAATCGTATGTACAATTGTTAAGCGCCTTGTATTGAGGCGTTATATACAATCTATATAAGATAAGTGTCCACGCCACAGTAACCCCAAGTCGCTCACTTGCCCCTCACCCAAACGACCTCAACAACGGTTCCCTCAACCCGCCTGCCCCTCACCGCTGCCCCTCACCACCCCTGCCTGCCCCTCACCCCTCACCACCCCTGCCTGCCCCTCACCACCCCTGCCTGCCCCTGCCTGCCCCTCACCACCCCTGCCTGCCCCTCACCACCCCTGTCTGCCCCTCACCCCTCACCACCCCTGCCTGCCCCTCACCACCCCTGCCTGCCCCTCACCACCCCTGCCTGCCCCTCACCACCCCTCACCACCCCTGCCTGCCCCTCACCACCCCTGCCTGCCCCTCACCACCCCTCACCACCCCTGCCTGCCCCTCACCACCCCTCACCACCCCTGCCTTCCCCTCACCGCCCTCCAGCAGCGCCGTCTTCTTGGCCGCCCTCAGCTGCTGCTCCCAAGCGCCGCTCTCCCCTCGCTCCTGCCCCATGGCGGCTGCCGTCACCATGGCAACGCGTCCCGCCGCTCCTTGCCGTCACTGCGCATGCGCAGCGCCCACGCCCTCCGGTAGGCGGAGCCAGGGAACCTCGCGAGTGACGTCACTCTCTCGCACCTTTCAGGGCCATTTCCCGAAACGTCGCTAATTTTAACTCATTCTAACATGAGCGTTGGTTAAGCATCCCATCAGTCACACGGCCTACTGGGCCCAACCGTATTTTAAATAAGATTAGAGAAGCTATCAAAAGTTTGACTTACAATTCTGCATAATTAAGGTTTGTTTTGGGTTAGAGGGGTCGTCCATAAATGACGTCACGCACCTAGGGGGGGTTCAGACATTTGTGACGATGTGTGACGAGGGGGGGTTGAGAAATGTGACGTCACATCAAAATGCGCAACTTTAAATAGGTATAGACAACACGTTCTACTTAATTAGACTTTTTAATAAAAAAAATGATTCTACAACATCAGAGGGCAGCGCCACATTAAATACGCACTACAATGACAATAGTTTAAAGCGATTTGAAGCATGTTTTATTTGGGGGGGGGGCAGAGCTTTGTGACGTCATATTTGAGGGGGGATCTAACTTTTTGTGACGCCATGTGACGAGGGGGGGGGGTCCAAAATCATTTATGGACGTCCCCAGATCGCGTAAATATATAAATGTTTCGTTTAAACCCGCCACCACCCGACACAGACAATTAGTAATGTTTGTCACCTAAACAGAGCGTGCGAATTTGTTACTAGTGTCGAGTAGTACGGGACTTGACGTCACGCGCACTTTTCCGATGCGATGACGTATTGAAAAGTGACGTCACGCGCCCCCCTGCGATGGGATGACGTCATGTCTCGTCTAGGTAGTTGGGGGGGACCCCGGGACGAGAGTGGGGTCACTGTGGAAGCGGGGAATCGTGGAGGGTGAAGAGGGAACCAGGAGCAGAGCTCAAGCAGTCGAGAGAAAGCCCCGGGGCGAGCCGGGCTGGGCACAGTCAGAGCCGTAGGGTCACCGAGGAAGGGCCCAGGGCAGTGCCCCGTCCCTGGGGAAGTGTCCACAACCTTAGTACACCTTCGGCGCAAGCCCCGACCTGAAGCCACTTCTCAACACCAGTGCAGCAGCACACACTTGTGTTGGAGAGCAGATCCACAACATCATCTGAGGACCACATTTCGCCAGTAATTACAACCAGCAGCATCAGGCGGACAGATTTGTGGAGAAATCCTGTTTCGTTACTTAAATAGAGGGATAGGTGTGATTACGTCACTTGTGAGCCCTCCACGTGCGAAGGGGGTGATTTATGAACGCATATACATCACAATGGGTATACATCACCGGTGGGTTGACTCATAGTAAGCACATTATGCATGCACATTGTTCTTGTACCTCCTGTCATGTGTGTGCACTAAAATAGCAGCGCCTGTTATTGTCAGATAATCCCCACTGACGTATGGTGACCTGTATAGGCATGCATTTAAACAATCTACGATTTGATTATTCGCTTCCAAGCAGCACTAAACCTCTAGTTATCCGAACGATTACATAATTTGTATTCATGTATATTTTGACCATTCTCTCATTAGCCTTCGCCAGTAGTCACTAGTTTTGCACATAACTTCAACATTATCAAAATCAATTGAATGTCCTTGTTGGCACGCGTGTTCTGCCACTGCCGACAGTTGTATTTGGGGGTATTTATTATCTCTTTGGTGATCTCTTAGTCTCGTGCTAATCATTCGTCCTGTCTACTTAGCCTTGCCTGTCCAATTTAATTGAGAAAGCTAAATATATTCTTGGTTCTTTCGGTAAAGCCGTCCTCAGGTGAAGAAACAGCTGTCGGAAGGCAGCGTCCCAAGCTGCTTGTGTTGTGGCCGAAACGTGAGATTTTTCTTTTATTATGTTTTATTTTTATTATTTTATTATTTCCCTTCTACGTGACTTTACCGAAAGAACCAAGAAGATGAATCCCTGCAGTCACGAAAGCTTTAAATCGAAAAGCAAAATGTTGTGTAAACGTGTTCCAATTGCAGGAAACCCCATATGAACCTACAATGGGGTCGGGTTTGTCCAGCAATTATCGACTCAGTCATTCAGTCGTGCCGGGTAGGCGGAGGAGGTCAGCTAACACGGAGGTCAGCTAACACAGAGGAGGTCAGCTAACACGGAGGTCAGCTAACACGGAGGTCAGCTAACACGGAGGAGGTCAGCTAACACGGAGGTCAGCTAACACGGAGGTCAGCTAACACGGAGGTCAGCTAACACGGAGGAGGTCAGCTAACACGGAGGAGGTCAGCTAACACAGAGGAGGTCAGCTAACACGGAGGTCAGCTAACACGGAGGTCAGCTAACACGGAGGTCCGCTAACACAGAGGTCAGCTAACACGGAGGAGGTCAGCTAACACGGAGGTCAGCTAACAGAGGAGGTCAGCTAACACGGAGGAGGTCAGCTAACACAGAGGAGGTCAGCTAACACGGAGGAGGTCAGCTAACACGGAGGTCAGCTAACACGGAGGAGGTCAGCTAACAAGGAGGAGGTCAGCTAACACGGAGGTCAGCTAACACGGAGGTCAGCTAACACGGAGGTCAGCTAACACAGAGGAGGTCAGCTAACACGGAGGTCAGCTAACACGGAGGTCAGCTAACACGGAGGAGGTCAGCTAACACGGAGGTCAGCTAACACGGAGGTCAGCTAACACGGAGGTCAGCTAACACGGAGGAGGTCAGCTAACACGGAGGAGGTCAGCTAACACAGAGGAGGTCAGCTAACACGGAGGTCAGCTAACACGGAGGTCAGCTAACACGGAGGTCCGCTAACACAGAGGTCAGCTAACACGGAGGAGGTCAGCTAACACGGAGGTCAGCTAACAGAGGAGGTCAGCTAACACGGAGGAGGTCAGCTAACACAGAGGAGGTCAGCTAACACGGAGGAGGTCAGCTAACACGGAGGTCAGCTAACACGGAGGAGGTCAGCTAACAAGGAGGAGGTCAGCTAACACGGAGGTCAGCTAACACGGAGGTCAGCTAACACGGAGGTCAGCTAACACAGAGGAGGTCAGCTAACACGGAGGTCAGCTAACACGGAGGTCAGCTAACACGGAGGAGGTCAGCTAACACGGAGGTCAGCTAACACGGAGGTCAGCTAACACGGAGGTCAGCTAACACGGAGGTCAGCTAACACAGAGGAGGTCAGCTAACACGGAGGAGGTCAGCTAACACGGAGGTCAGCTAACACGGAGGTCAGCTAACACAGAGGAGGTCAGCTAACACGGAGGAGGTCAGCTAACACGGAGGTCAGCTAACACAGAGGTCAGCTAACACGGAGGTCAGCTAACACAGAGGAGGTCAGCTAACACGGAGGTCAGCTAACACAGAGGAGGTCAGCTAACACGGAGGAGGTCAGCTAACACGGAGGTCAGCTAACACGGAGGTCAGCTAACACGGAGGTCCGCTAACACAGAGGTCAGCTAACACGGAGGAGGTCAGCTAACACGGAGGTCAGCTAACAGAGGAGGTCAGCTAACACGGAGGAGGTCAGCTAACACAGAGGAGGTCAGCTAACACGGAGGAGGTCAGCTAACAAGGAGGAGGTCAGCTAACACGGAGGTCAGCTAACACGGAGGTCAGCTAACACGGAGGTCAGCTAACACAGAGGAGGTCAGCTAACACGGAGGTCAGCTAACACGGAGGTCAGCTAACACGGAGGAGGTCAGCTAACACGGAGGTCAGCTAACACGGAGGTCAGCTAACACGGAGGTCAGCTAACACGGAGGTCAGCTAACACAGAGGAGGTCAGCTAACACGGAGGAGGTCAGCTAACACGGAGGTCAGCTAACACGGAGGTCAGCTAACACAGAGGAGGTCAGCTAACACGGAGGAGGTCAGCTAACACGGAGGTCAGCTAACACAGAGGTCAGCTAACACGGAGGTCAGCTAACACAGAGGAGGTCAGCTAACACGGAGGTCAGCTAACACAGAGGAGGTCAGCTAACACGGAGGAGGTCAGCTAACACGGAGGTCAGCTAACACGGAGGAGGTCAGCTAACACGGAGGTCAGCTAACACGGAGGTCAGCTAACACAGAGGAGGTCAGCTAACACGGAGGAGGTCAGCTAACACGGAGGTCAGCTAACACGGAGGTCAGCTAACACGGAGGTCAGCTAACACAGAGGAGGTCAGCTAACACGGAGGAGGTCAGCTAACACGGAGGAGGTCAGCTAACACAGAGGAGGTCAGCTAACACGGAGGTCAGCTAACACAGAGGAGGTCAGCTAACACAGAGGAGGTCAGCTAACACGGAGGTCAGCTAACACAGAGGAGGTCAGCTAACACGGAGGAGGTCAGCTAACACGGAGGTCAGCTAACACGGAGGAGGTCAGCTAACACGGAGGTCAGCTAACACGGAGGTCAGCTAACACAGAGGAGGTCAGCTAACACGGAGGAGGTCAGCTAACACGGAGGTCAGCTAACACGGAGGTCAGCTAACACGGAGGTCAGCTAACACAGAGGAGGTCAGCTAACACGGAGGAGGTCAGCTAACACAGAGGAGGTCAGCTAACACGGAGGTCAGCTAACACGGAGGTCAGCTAACACGGAGGTCAGCTAACACGGAGGAGGTCAGCTAACACAGAGGAGGTCAGCTAACACGGAGGTCAGCTAACACGGAGGAGGTCAGCTAACACGGAGGAGGTCAGCTAACACGGAGGTCAGCTAACACGGAGGTCAGCTAACACGGAGGTCAGCTAACACGGAGGAGGTCAGCTAACACAGAGGAGGTCAGCTAACACAGAGGAGGTCAGCTAACACGGAGGAGGTCAGCTAACACAGAGGAGGTCAGCTAACACAGAGGAGGTCAGCTAACACGGAGGAGGTCAGCTAACACGGAGGAGGTCAGCTAACACAGAGGAGGTCAGCTAACACGGAGGAGGTCAGCTAACACAGAGGAGGTCAGCTAACACGGAGGTCAGCTAACACGGAGGTCAGCTAACACGGCACCTCCTGCTGGCTCTCATCCCACCAGAGAACACGACGCACCACCGACGTGCCACGTGCCACGGGGGGGGGGGGGGGGGGGGCTGCGATCTGCGCTGTTAGAGGAGTCGCTGCTGTGGACACGATGTTGACGGGATGTGCTGCTGGGCAAAACTATCGCCGTGGAGTTTCCCAGTTCCCCCAATGTCTAGGAGGCAACATCGTGTCCAGGTGATGCAATAAACCCGAGCAGTGGAGGAGGTGCACGGTGGTTGTGTGGCTGTGCATCACAAACAATGCTCAGCCCGTGTGTCGCGTCTCAGAATCTGTGTTTATCCTGCAGGAGTACAATGAGCTCTGAAGATATTTTCACAGATAGGGGCGGGTCAGCAAGTTACAACAACAATACAACAAACAAAAGTAGTAGCACTATGAAGAAATACAAATACATCAAGTATATAAGTACACATTGCATAAGTAAGTTTGGACAAGGCAGCAAAACAACAAAAACAGTCCCAGACCACGCCAAAACCACGCATAGCCCCTTAATAAAATGGAACATTAAACTTGAACGATACACGGATCAGAATCAGACTTACAAATCACATGTGTAGATGTGGTTGTATCCAGCACTAATCTTTAGCTTCAGGATGTGTTTTGAAGGAAGATTTGTTGAAGGAAATCGTCGTTTTGATTAAGTGGGAATTCGGTCCCTGCTACGCTTCAGTTGTTGATGGCAGATGCGCTTCGAGCTTCGCGCAAAGCGACTCCAGATCCGCAGGTCATCGTCAGGGCGGTCAAAGTCGAGGGGGTTTTTGCATGACGACAACTATTATTCACTTATTTTTAGTGACTTGCTTATCTATTCTATACTTTGCACTATCGTTTGTTCTAGATTGTTGCTGTACCTTGCTGACATGTAACTCGTCGGATTCCTCCAGTCTAAAGACAGATTGCTTTAAAAAATATGAATATGAAAACACCCGATAATAACGGGTCTGTGGCCCATGTAGGAATGTGCAGAGCAACACGGGGCACCCACGAGCCACAACCGAGGGGGGCACTGCCACTGGACTCCTTCCCCCCCACGGTGTGTGTCATCACCAGCAGTAGACACGGGTGGGTCTGGCACAGCGAAGTGGATGGGCAGGGGGAGGGTGGTGGGATCGAGGGTGGAACGCCCACCTCTTCCTAAGGCGCCTGGCGGGCGTGGAAGAGTAGGCCAAGTGCCCCCTCCCTCCCTCTCCCTCCCTCCCTCTGCTGGAGCCCCTCGGGCCAACAGCGGCGGCAGCGAATGCGAGACATTTCACGCATTCATTAGAAATATAATCCACCGCAAACGGTTACCGGTTCCTGGCCTCAGAACCGGCAATCGGTTACCGGTTCCTAGCTTCAGAACCGGCCGTCGGTTACCGGTTCCTGGCTCCCGCCGTGAGCGCAGCGCCGGCGCCGAAGGGAACCTGTGGGGGCCGCAGCAGGAGGCGCCATGGGGGACGCGTTTGTCGGGGACTTGTTCAGCGTCTTCGACGAGGAGGCGGACGAGAAGCCGCTGGGAGTCCCCGCGCCCAGGTGACGTCCGCACTGCGGCGCAAACACGGAGAGGCGGCCTCCTCCTCCCCCTCCCGCCTCGCTCCCGCCTCTCCGCTTGGGCGGCGGCAGCGGCGCCGGGCGGGCGGGCGCCTCGAGGCCGCGGGCGATCCCCGGGCTCGCCTGGAATCGTCGCCTTGGACTGCGACGCACAGGGCCCCGGCGGCTCGGGATCGCCCGAGTGGGTGCCAACTGCAGTATTTGGTCTTCTTTCTACCCCGACCTGCCCCATCCCTGCCTGTGCACCCCCATCAGCCCCATCATCTGCCTGTGTATCCCGACCAGCCATGGCATCCATCAACTAAAACAAGAAAGACGGTCGCCGCATCGCGCGGCGCTTTCAGATGCGCTTCTGCGGCCGTCTGGAACTTGCTTCTATCCGATATGAGGAATCCACTGGAGCTTTACACTTTTACATCTCGTTTGGAAACTCATTTATTTAAAATCGTTTTTTTGTGTTTAGTTTGTTGCCCTTCCTACGCACCTATTAGCACGGCTGGCTACGTACGGTGCGAAAGAAGTTACACATACTGTGCATACATGAAAATAAGTTACACAAACTCCATACATGAAAGCCCTTCGAAATGGCTTCTCACGTGGGAATTTACAGTAGCAGCCAGATAATCTGCATGTGTACCCTCTACGAGCCCGATTAACTATTATTTAACATGTTTACGTTTGCTCTTTTTTTCCACATGATGGGATTTGCTGGATCGGAGTATGTCCTGATTTGATAATGTCATTGTATTGTAAAATGTAATCATTCAGTCCTTGCTAATGCCACTTCTAGGAGCAGGGCCTCTGCTCGCGAGAGCTTTTTAAAGCCCCTCAAGAGGGTATTTCAGCTATTCTTTCATGTTGGCCATACAGTATGTCTTATAAGAGGTCATTGTGTTGACAGAACCAGTATTGTCATTCACCACAATGCAGTCCATATATAAAATATCTGTAACCATTGTGTTTGCCCAGGCAAAAGAAGACTCCAACCAAACGCCCATATGGATGCGAGGAGACTGGGTCCGCAGCCTCGGAAGGGGGAGCCGCAGCCGATGGAATCGACGACCTCATCAGCAGAAAGCGTCTCAAGCTGGAGCGAAATATTACCTTTGAACAGAAGTAGGCATCAGCCGCCACCAAATACTCCTCTTTCTTCATCGGTTAAGCCACATTTTTTCTCATGGCTTCCAGGAAATTTGAGAAGCATAATTATTTATATTTTATAAACAGTTTCTGAGTGCAGGTCTAAAGCCCCAACACATCAAGCGGACAGCAACAAACAGCACTCAAAGTTTTAATAAGAGTTCGCCTCTCTGGAATTTAGCAATGTTATGTATTATGAGTGATTGGGAAAAGTCCTAAGTGCTATTGCGAGAAGCTTGACGTTTTGGGCTTTTGGGCCTGTGCTCAGAAATTGTGGTTAAAGAAAACTAAAATACCCAAACACGTTGGCTGTACTAGGGTAGGTGAGGATTTCGGTCTGCAGAAAGCACGACTAAGTTGTGATATGACTGTTGTTGATACTCGCTGTGCTTTAGCCTCACCCAGCTCATGCCCAGAGTGAAGACCGTGAGGGTAGAGACACTGGAGGGCTGCACGCACGAGGTGAGGAGCTCACGCAGCACGGAGGGGGTTAGTACGTGGTGCTAACAACACACTGACATGGGGTTAGTGTGGTAACGCATTAAAAACAACAAAAATCTCACTTAGAAACATACACGTTAAAATGGGAATTGTATGCAAAATATATAATTTGTGATTGAATAAAACTGGCATAATAAAATATTATGTAGCTCTTTTGAATAGTAAACTTGGTGAGACAAAGGGCATTGGCATGGCTCTGGTAGCACATTCGCCGATTGTTGCATAGGTTTGTGGTTCGAGTCCAGCAGGCTGCCCTGTTAATACTATAGGTGTATTAATCAATGGGTGTTAAAGATCTTGTGACGTCATTCGAGTATGCTATTGTGTGATGTCACAGTCTAAATTTTCCGTATTGTAAATTTACCTCTAATTTATTATTTAAGGATTACGTAGTAATTTACCCCTACTGCCATACCAATACCTGCTTGCGGCCCAGGTGCTAAGTCACCTTGTGCCGCAAAGGGGCAGCTACCACTGGGGGTGCCCTTTTAAATGTTTTAAATGAGATGTGATGTAAGTCGCTTATCGTGTGTAAAACGCTCTGAAATGCCCTGGAATAAAGTGCGCTATATCAAAACAAAGTTATTTTTATTATTATAGTTGTGCATGGTCTTGTGTGTGCCAGGCTGATGTGCGTGTTCCCCTACCTGTGGTCTGTTCACCAGGTGGCCATCGGACAGGAGTCTGCTTACGAGACCCTCAAGCTCAGAGTTGGTTTGCCGGCAAAGGTGAGTGGCTTGTTCTTATTGTAAACACAGACACGAAGGTGGTCAGCAACAAAATGCACTGTCAAAGTTGTAACAGATAAGAGTTAACACTTCTTGAATTGAGCAAAGTTAAAAGATCTTGAAGGGATTAGCAAAGTGGAGCAGTACAAGCAAAGAAGCAGAAAGATTATTATTTTGACCTGCAATATGGCAGTTGAGTGGGTGAGCATGTGCCTGTGATTAAGTGAGTAGATGAGTGTGTTATTTTCACCTTTGTGGTTGTTGAACACGGTATGGATGGGCCAAGATGGAGGAATCGGAGTAAAGTTCATGTCAATGATAACCATGGTAGTAGCGATAGAAGCGTGAAAAAGAGGAAACTGACCACTTGAGTGAGTGGAGTGAATCGGTGAGTGCTGGATCATCAATCCTAACAATGTTGTTTGTCCAGGAAAGTGTCTCTGAAGCACATGTACACAGGACCATCCTGATATGGAGATTCATGGCCATTTCCTCAATGTTTAATTGTTCATGTGTGGAGAAACTGGTGTAACGAATGAAAACCTGAACCACCACATTTCATGGTTGGCTGGGTGATTTGCAACGTGCTTACATGTAAACAGCCCTCTGTGTGTGCGCACGTCCTGACCAAACTCTTTACGCGTCTCTTCTCACTTCTCTCTGTGCCCATAGGAGTATCCATTCCTGCTGGACCCGTTCCAGCGGGAGGCAATCCTATGCATTGACAACAGCCAGTCAGTGCTGGTCGCCGCACACACGTCGGCTGGAAAAACCGTCTGTGCCGAGTGAGTTTTCTTTGCTTTTGTGATGTGTCTCAGTATCTCATAGTTGGCAATCAAAATGAGTTCCTGCTCAAATGAACACTGAGGCAGTGCTCATTTTCTCAGGTATTTATTCAGATTTCTTTTGTTACTCATTTCTATTTGGTAGTCTCTGATCTGATTTGTATTTGGTTGTCTACTCGGATTTCTGTTTTATTTTTATTCTAATTTCTATTTATTTTTTGCTTTGATTTCTATTTGCTTTCTTGTTATACTTATTTTAATGTTATAGTTTTTGTCATCCATAATAGAGGTTTTATTGGCGTTAAATTGCATAAATATATAAATGTGTCATTAAACCCGCCACCACCCGACACGGCCAACTAGTAAGGGTTGTCACGTAAGCAGAATATGCCAACCTCTTATGGATGATATTGGTTGCGAAAGCCTACGTGTTAAACCGTTATTGTTATTTTGGTGACCCTGGTCGATTACTGTTGCAAATGAGACCATCTTTGTCTCTTGAGTTCTCATGCCATTGAACAAAATAAATTAAAACCTTGAATTTGAGCTTGCGGTGTCACCGTCAGGTACGCGATAGCGCAAGCTCTGCGTGGAAAGCAGCGCGTGATATTCACGAGCCCCATCAAGGCGCTCAGCAACCAGAAGTACCGAGAGCTACACGAGGAGTTCCACGATGTGGGGTTGCTCACGGGAGACATCACCATCAACCCCAGTGCCTCCTGCCTCGTCATGACCACCGAAGTGCGACCACTAGCTTTATCATTCTAACATCAGGGCGGAAGGGTGGTGGCGCAGTGGGTAACACTTGTGCCGACTTGGGTGCCTGTTTGTGTGGAATTTTTCTATCCTTGTTCTGTGTTGGTTTACTCCAGGTTCTCTGATTTTTCTCCATAGCTGCTACAAGCAAAACATTTCTGTAATTGGGTAGATTGTGATAGAATGTGTTCCACACAATTGAATATCGCAATTTGAACAAAATCTGGAAAGTGAAGAAATCTTAAGGCCAAACAAATTTCAGCCAAATGAGACATTTGTATTCCCAATTCTGCTCTTGGATCTGAATGCTGGACCCTTAGGAGGGAGCGTGAAAGAAAGTTACTGGCAGCAAAAATGAAGTGGCTGAGAAGGATCATGGCAGGAGAGACTACAACAACTAAGACATGAACCTGGGAATTGAAATTAGAAAACTGGGAAGTCAATTTTATGCTGCAGCCTTCACAACACAGGTGACACTGACGTTCATCTGGGAATGAAGCTGAATGCTCCGGTTTTATTGCAGATCCTGAGAAGCATGCTCTACCGAGGCTCAGAGATAATGAGGGAGGTGGCCTGGGTGATTTTCGATGAAATTCACTACATGCGGAACCCAGGTAGGAAATACAATGTGTGTCACTGCATTTACATTTTAATATTTTATGGTGGCATAGCGGTAATCACTTGCGTAGTGGCTGACTGCTTTTTTTCATCTATAATATGCTCAACCACCACACGGTAGGTCACAACAGTACACTCGCACACGCATTCACCCACCATCTAGCAGGTCACAACACTCCTTTCTACTTCTTCCCCCATCGTCTCATTTCCCAAGCTCTTATAACTTTGCTCAATTCAAGATATGTGTTAACTCTTATTTACCACACCTTCAAATTGTGCTGTCTTTTGCTGGCCACTTGGTATTTTGGTCCTTTGGGCCTGTGTTCAGCAACTATGTAAAAATAAAAAAGTTGTGCTGTTAGTCACGTAGACTCGTCACGTGTGGTACCAGTCTGAATAAGTGCTCACTATCTATATTTGTACCAATTGCTCCCCTATTTATCATATTAATGGTGATATATGTATATCTGTGTGTATGTGATCGTGTGTTCATTTAATAATAATATTGTTAGTTTTTGATACAACCCCTTTATGGCAGGGCATCTCACACCATATTACATGGTTCGGCGACTTGCATCCCATCTCGTCTCAAACGTTCTAAGTGTACCGCTAGTGGCATCTATCCCTGTGCGTCACAATGTTACTCAGGAGCGGCCTGCAAGTGGCCATTAGTTTGCCAGTAGGTGGTGATGAGTTCTATCTGTATTCCCCAATAGGTAATTTGCGGTGTAATTTTTTTAATTAATCAAGTTTGGACCGTGATGCCGGTACACAATGGCCTGCTCATTTCCAGCAATGAATGACGTTGGGGGGATCTGTAAGGTTCACTTTTCACCGTGTGTGCGTGCATCGTCTGTGCTTGGCGAAGAGCGTGGCGTCGTGTGGGAAGAGACCATCATCCTTCTGCCAGACAACGTGCACTACGTGTTCCTCTCTGCCACCATCCCCAACGGCACGCAGTTCGCCGAGTGGATCTGCCACTTGCACAAGCAGGTGGGACCCACCAAGCACACGCTCTCAGAGAAACCGCTTCGAGTCCAGGCTCCTGCTGAGTAGTGGAGAGGCTGGCACACTGAGCCAGCAATCCGTTCATGGAATGGCTGAATTACCAATCTGGATAAGAAGGCATTCAAGAAGGTTTTTTTTTTCGTGTCAAAGCCTCTTTAACGGAACAGTTTTTACTTCTATACAAAGCATACATTTAGCCAAAGGTAAAATCCTGCTGTCACATCTAGCGTGGAGCACTCGGCAACTACCTCATTGAATGCATTTGATATAATTTGCTGTAAAGCAGTCCATTTGGTTGATGGTCCTTTGTTTAATGAGTACCCCACTCATTAACTGGTGATCATTTGCCTCCTTCTATCACTACTACTTTCGTTGCCATGTTGTATCTATCTTTTATCTGCACAATGGATAAATATGAGTGTCCAAAGCATACATGCTCACTTACCGAACATGTTCCAGTAGTCATGAAAGCTAAAGAGGAGATGTCTGTGCGTTGTGTGTGTTACAGCCATGTCACGTAGTGTCCACCGACTACCGGCCGACCCCTCTACAGCACTTCATCTTCCCAGCTGGCGGCGACGGCCTCCTCCTGGTGGTTGACGAATTTGTACGGTCGTGATTTTGTGCCCTTTGCATGTGTGTCTGTGCAATGTAGTTCAGTGGTTGGCGTGCTATGCAACAAACTCGGCAACCCGGGTTCGATCCCCCCCCCCAACACCAGTAACGATTATTCAAACCGGTCCTGGGCTTCCCCAAGGTCGACTCAGCCTTGAATAAGGACCTGATGTGGTGTGTAAGCATCAGCACTAGACCCGCACGTGGTGCTGGCCACCCACCTCGTGTACCATGCCGGCCTTAATAAGGTGCTTGCTAACAGCACGTGCCCCAACAGTGTGTGAAAGGCTATATTGGTGATCTTTGTCTTTGTACGTGTGTATGCTGCTTTTAACAAGTCAAGGCCTATGACACTATAAAGATTGCCATGGCTTCTGACCTTGTTCCCCAAGTCATGAGGAGTCCTAACTAGGAGTCGGAACCATTACCCGTGCACTTAGGGGTCTCACTAGGTCCTGTCGGTCATGAGTTACACATTTTGAATATGTGGCTGTGATGGAATTTCCATTTGGCATATACAATGAAAGGCTGCTTGATATCTGGTTACATGAAGGAAAATTGCTAAACAGTTCAACTATGTTTATATACTGTACTGGTGACTTGGTAATGCTTCCCATTATGTTGAGTCGTACACCTTGTTACTGAACCTAGAGTGAACTAAAAAAAAATGTATGGCCTTACTATTAGGCTTACCACACTGTGCTCCCTTGCTGGGAGTGAGAGTGGAAGGAGGAGGGGGAGTTCCTGTGTGTGGAGGTGTTGTGTGTGCGAGTTAGAGCCGGGAGGAGGAGGGTGTTAGCACTGGTTGATCCACTGCTGCTCTGTGCTGGCTGTTTCAGCGTGACTTCAAGGAAGACAACTTCCTGCAAGCGATGTCCCAACTGCGGGAAGGAGGCGACCCATCCCGCAAGCGCAAGGGCGGCAATAAGGGTGCGCAGAGACCCTCCTCCTCACATTCGCTCAGACAGCCAGAGGCAATGCTGCTCTGCTCCAAATAGTGTGTGCTGGTGCTCCTCTCTGGTGGAGGCCCAATGCCACATTCATACGGTGGGGTCCACTGTAGGGCAACCACTGTTGGCTTTCCACAAAGTGGTACTCATTTTTATTGACCCCTGGATTAAAGGTACATATATACAAGGGAGAAGATCATATAATGATAATAATGTAAAAGTTGTAATGTATGCAGTTTTGGTTCACTGCCAGGGAGAAATGAATTCACGATAGTGTGAGGGAGTTTCACAAATGTGTGGTGACTCGCCAACTGGTCACTTGCCGATAAGGTGTTGCAGGCCATGTGCAGCATAGACACGAATGCCTGACATCAAAAAAGCAGCTCCAGATGTTGGATTAAATTTCGTGGAGCTTTTTCGGCCAAATCCATTAAATGCATCATTGGGCTGTGTCTTTATTCTTTGCACTGGACTGCCACTTGCGGTTTGTCGATTGCCGTCGTCGGTTCCCACTGTGGTGCAAGTCGTCTGCCACAGACCCAAACCCGGTGACGACATCAGCGGGTAAGACCTCGGTCCGCTCGTGTGCTTGCAGGGGAGTCCAATGTCTTCAAGATCATCAAACTGATCATGGAACGGAACCTGCAGCCCGTCATTATCTTCAGCTTCAGCAAGCGCGAGTGCGAGACCTACGCCGTACAGCTCTCCCAACTCGACTTCAACACGGGTATGTGCGATGCAAGGCGGCGGGTGCCATTGTCTATCCGCAGCTGAGTGAAGGCCTCCCCATGCCACCCTTTGTTTATCTGCTCATTCACGAGGCCGAATTTCTATATCTGTGCGTAGATGTAGATCGGGGTGAATGCAGTCTGTGGGAGAGAAAGCCAAGAGGGACCCCGTGGAAGGTTTTTCGGTTCACGTTTTGCCTCCCAAAGGACCCCATGATTTCGACCTAATGTTCAAATTTGGATTAACAGTGTTTAAATTATGCACGCGGACGCCAATTTCGGCCAATCAGAGCGCTCGCAAGTGGGCTGAGCATTCAGCCAATCAGCGACGTCTATTTATGAGCATTTAGACCTTCACTGGCTTTGTTTACATTACGTTTTCTGTTTTGGCAGCGGAAACAGCTCTTGCAGACTCAGTGATTTTTACTTATTTTTCAACTTATAAGTTAATAGTGATTGTAATGCCCCCTATAGTGAATTCGCAAGAGGAAAAGAAGAATAGGAAAGTAATTAGCCTGAAAACAAAGCAGGACATTTTTGATAAGCATGAAAAATGGGTAAAAACCAGTGCACTTATGAGTGAGTTTAGCTGGACCCAATCCACCATTTTTGCAATTTTAGAAAATAAGGACAAAATTAAAGCTACCAATGCGAACGATTTCTAGACCAGGATATTAAAAGGTTGGGAAATTATTACATCAATTAAAAAACTGCTAATAATATGGATTCAGGAGAAGGAAAAGTGAGGTGAGTCTGTAGAAAAGCTTCATCATTGTTCTTATAATGTTTATTTCTGAATATTGAGTGTTTAAATGTCAAACTATGTTTTTAGAGTCAAAAAGATCAACTTCCAAAATTCTTGGAACGGATTCATGCTTTTAACATGTAATTCCTATATTCGATTTACAGTTATTTTGGTTAACAGTTTTCGTGGAACGAATAAAAAACGAGTTAACCAAGGGACTACTAAACATGTAACAGAATAGACGAGGAGCATAGAAAGGTTCTTGCATTGATACAGTGAAGCTACAACTTTATTTGTTACTTATTCTCCGCTACAACTCAAATTGATATGTTGTGTTGCGCATTATATAGTTTGCATCAAACTTGGGATCCATGTTTCCAAAGTATACTTGACAATTAACATCTTGCAGTTTCAAAAGCATTTCTTCAAACAAGCCTGAGGCTACTGATGAGACATTGATCGTCAAAATTGGTCCAGAGTTTTCTTGTATTGATTATAATTATTGATTTGTAACGCATGCTGCCATGTTTGTCTGCTGACCAAGTCGCCCTTGAATAATTGCCATATAGCTCAATGGGTTATTTACTCAGGTAATACACTTCTGAATTTGAATCTATTAAACTGAAGCTGCACTCTCAGATGGCAATGGGTTGTTGATGGGCTATGTAAAAATACTTGTAATATTTTACGTGAGGGGACAGATATGGAGGGCGAATTGTGTGCTTGTTTATTGTATTACAATTGTGCCTCCGCGCTGGATCGTGATGAATTTGGCGACAGAGGAAGAGAAGTGCCTGGTGGAGGAGGTGTTCAACAACGCCATGAGCTGCCTTTCAGATGAGGACCAGAAGCTGCCGCAGGTGAAAACCTCTCCGCCACCACCAACACCACCAACACCACCAACACGACCCACACCACCAACACCACCCACACCACACCACCCACACCACCCACACCACCCACACCACCCACACCACCCACACACCCTCACCACCCACACCACCCACACCACACCACCCACACCACCCACACCACCCACACCACCCACACACCCTCACCACCCACACCACCCACACCACACCACCCACACCACCCACACCACCCACACCACCCACACCACCCACACCACCCACACCACACCACCCACACCACCCACACCACCCACACCACCCACACCACACCACCCACACCACCCACACACCCACACACCCACACCACCCACACCACCCACACCACCCACACCACCCACACCACCCACACCACACCACCCACACCACCCACCACCACCACACCACACCACCCACACCCACCGACCACACCACCCACACCACACCACCACACCACCCTACACCACCCACACCACCCACACCACCACACCACCCACCACCACCCACACACCACACCACCCACACACCCTACACCACCCACACCACCCACACCACCCACACCACCCCACACCACCACCACACCACCCACACCACCCACACACCCTCACCACCCACACCACCCACACCACCCACACCACCCACACACCCTCACCACCCACACCACCCACACCACCCACACCACCCACACCACCCACACCACCCACACACCCTCACCACCCACACCACCCACACCACACCACCCACACCACCCACACCACCCACACCACCCACACACCCTCACCACCCACACCACCCACACCACCCACACCACCCACACACCCTCACTGCAGCAAATGGCACAGTCCACATGCAGCCAGGGCCAGCAAACTAATGAGATGGAACAGGGGAAATCTAAATGACCATACCAGCTGTCTTAATTATATTCTAAACTTAATGATTCACTTCACATAAATAAATGTAAAGCAATCAAGTTGATCGATGATACAGAACTTACTTATGCACTCCAGAGAATTGTATTTTATTATGTTTTATTTTTAATATTTGAATATTTAATATTTTTATTATTTTATTATTATTTCCCTTCTACGTGACTTTATCGAAAGAACCAAGAAGATGAATCCCTGCAGTCACGAAAGCTTTAAATCGAAATTTAACCAGTAGTCTGTTAACTTTCATCTATCACGGTTTCGATAGTGCTATATGTTGCTGACCACTTGATGTATTGGCCCTTGGGCCTGAGCTCGGCAACACATGGAATACTAAACTCCACAGAGGGGGCACAGGCAAGTGTGGATGGTCCACAGTTCTCTGTGTCGGTGAGGGCTGATTTGGTTACTCAGTGGCATTGCCAACCACATTGCTAATGACCATGTGAACCACGTGAACACTGTGGGTAGGGTGAGAAGGGAGACCGGGAAAACAGTCCAGAGAGAGAGGGAGACAGGGACAGTCCTCTTCAAATCAAGATTAGTCCTCTGAGAGTTTTGACACGGAGAAAGTCTGATGAGTAGAGAGACGTCGACACAGGGACACAGTCCAGAAAGCAGCTGTGCAGACAGAATTGGGCTATTAAATGTTCACAGGCATTACAGAAATGTATAATATATACATTGTTTCACACACAAATGTATGCACAGGTAGAAGCAGCTTTAAATAAAATGTTGTCGTGTTGAAATGGCCAATTCATGTGGTCTCATAAACACTAGCATAAAGTATCACGTGGATCGCACGGTGATCTAGTCACATGTTTAATAAAATAATGAACTCAAACATAATGAATGTGATTTCTACGTTAAAAATACGAGTAAATTCTTGCAGAAAATTGTTGTCTTCAAAACAGTTGAGTGTTTCGCTGTGTGTGTAACCTGCCAGCAGGTGTTCGACACTTCACATGGCCTTAAAGTGCACATAGCCTGGCGCAAGGGCCGTTGTGATGTCACCGCCACTTAGTGGCAAATGCCGGTTGTTGTTTTGTGTCTGTGCCACAGGTGCAACGAGTGCTGCCCATTCTAAAGCGAGGTATTGGCATCCATCATGGTGGGCTGCTGCCTGTCCTGAAAGAAACCATTGAAATCCTCTTTTCTGAGGGCCTCATCAAGGTGAGTTCATGGTAGCAAGGGAGCAGTGTGCTGGGTAGAGGGAGCAGTTTTCTGACATGTTTGCCCCCTACATGTGCTTGTGTTGTGTGTTTCTCTTTGTGCCAACATGGTTCATTGACTTGCTCGTATATTTGTTTACTGTGCTGCCCTTGCTGCTCCTGTGTATATGTTGCTGTCAGTGAGTGTATGCTTGTGTGTTGCAGTGTGTGTGGGAAGCGTTAGTGCAATTGTTAGCGCACTGCACGATGCACCCGGTGACCCAAGTTCGATTTCCGCTCACAGCCAACACCAGTGATAATGCTCTTTTTTGGTCCTGGACCTCCTCTAGGTCGACTCGGCTTCAAATGAGTACCTATTGCAATGTGTTAACATCGCCACTTGGAAGACAAAGGCGACTGGGCATGATGCTAGCCACCAACCTCCTCGTGTGCTGTGCCGGTCTTCATAGGTGCTCGCTAACAGTACTTGCCCCAACTGTTGAGGTTATACGGGAGATTTTTGTGTTTGTGTTGCTGTGTGTAACGCAGGCTCTCTTTGCCACGGAGACATTTGCCATGGGCATCAACATGCCGGCCCGCACCGTGCTCTTCACCAGCGCACGCAAGTTTGACGGCCGCGACCACCGCTGGGTATGTGGCTCTCTGCCGCTTGGATCGCTTGCGTATTGTGATTTAGTTTTGGCCAAACACCCCAATTTAGGACCGCAGAGGAGCTTGGGCAATTGTTGGTGGTGCCGGTTTTGGCCGCCTTCCCACTTGTCTGTGATATCCCGCACCTTGATGCGAAAACTGTGCACATTATAACTTATGCGGTGTTTTGGCCTGCAACTTTAAAGGACAATGTACACATCACCAAAATAATATTTTCTTTGCATATTTTGCCACAACCATGCGTGGCTGTCCATGCATGACTTTAAATTCATATATATTTAGTGTTTGAGCACCTTATATTTACGCAGGTAAAATAGGTAAAGTTAAGTAAAACCATTATCTTGACCGTCAATTGTAATAGTGTAAACCATCTGAGATAAACACAGCTGCTCATGCTTAGGGTTTCATGGCGGCCTGATCACTGGTGACCAGAACAACCACATGTTCCACAACATCACAGCAAGTACAAGCGGTCTCCAATTTACACTGGTCTGATTTACGATGATCCACATCTACGACGTTTATATCATGCCACCATGGATCGATTTACAATGCAAAAACTTGATTTGTGATGCATCTTCCAACATTACTCCAAACACATTTGAATAGAGTCGATCTGGTTTCTGATGAAGTTTCCACTTATACTGGCTCAGAGATTTGCCCATGGCTTGGGTGAGTTAGTTGTAAACCAGCAAGGGTTGTGGTTCCACGTTGATACTAAGAAGCCGAGATTCTGATTGCTCGTCCCCCTCCCGCACTGCTCAGATCTCGTCTGGCGAGTACATCCAGATGTCGGGCCGCGCGGGCCGGCGCGGCATGGACGAGCGCGGCACCGTCATCCTCATGGTCGATGAGAAGATGAGCCCCACCGTAGGACATCAGCTCTTACAGGTGCCGCCTCACACCGTGATACCGCCCATCAGCTTTCACCGACCTCCACTCAGCCTACGCATCAGTGCATCGGTCTGCGTTCTGACCATTCACCTCAACTGAGTGTTGGATCATCAATCGACCTAACTGCTTTGTGTTGAATTCTGTTAAGTGCAGTGCAGTGAGGTAGAAACTGGGTGCTGCACGCCAGATTGTCCACAATATTCCAACGTCGGCCAAATATATGTGCCTTGTGTAATCTTGATAACTGCTTGTGTCCACCAGGGCTCACCCGACCCGCTCAACAGCGCCTTCCACCTCACCTACAACATGGTGCTGAACCTGCTGCGAGTGGAGGAGATCAACCCCGAGTACATGCTCGAGAAGTCCTTCTTCCAGTTCCAGCAGTACAAGGCTGTGCCTGATCTCCTGGCCAGTGAGTGGCCCATACCCACAGAGAGCCACCGCCAGGACCCAGGGCATAGCACTCCTCCAGCTTCTCACACGTGTTATGGCCTTCCTGTAGGTCAACTCAACCTTAAAAATTAGTACCTAGTGCAATGTGTAAACATCAGCACTGGGAAGGCAAAGGCGGCCGAGCGTGGTGCTGGCCGCCCACCCCCTTGTGCGCCGTACCGGCCTGAATATGTTATTGCTAACAATACTTATACGAACAGTCTGTTAAAGGCTATATGGGGGATCTTTGTGTGGCGTAATGGCCTGAATATGTTATTGCTAACAATACTTGTACGAACAGTCTGTTAAAGGCTATATGGGGGATCTTTGTGTGTTTGCCCGTGTGTGTGGCCCAGAGTTGCAGGCGCTACAGGGCCGTTACGCAACGCTGGCCGTGCCGGACGAGGCAAGCGCCACCTCCTACTACCACATCGAGCAGCAGCTGCAGCGCCTGCATGCAGAGGCGCGCGCCATCACACTGCGGCCACAGCATTGCCTGCACGTGCTGCAGCCTGGCCGCCTCGTACAGGTGCAGCTGGCTATCGGCGGCAGCGCCATCCACACCATAGCCGGAGTTCCATCTTGCACGCTTCACTCGCAGAGAATTGCCACAAATAGGCGAGCAGCTTAATTGCAAGGCCATGACATGTGTTGACGACTTAGGGAGTTCTTTTCCAGCAGTGGATAGAACATTTCTGATGTTGGGTTAAATACGTCCACCGCCTTAGCTGCCTCCTAATCGAGTGTAAGTTCCACGATGCTAATAACGACACGTGCTGTCGTCGTGGTGATTGTGGATGTGGCCAATGCTATGCCGCAGGCATGGCCGTTGGAGTGAGTGTGATCACGTCTTCTGTGTCTGTGCCCTGTCACGCAAGGTCACACATGGGAAAGAACACTTTGGCTGGGGTGTTGTCGTCAACTTTCAGCGCAAACCAACAAGCCAGGTGAGCTACGGCATGTAGGGAGAATGCATCTTTTGTTAAATCATCATTGTCTTCATTATTCTTCCTCTACTTCCTCCAACCTTTCCAGTGTTATTGTTGTGAATTAGATGACGGTGTTATTGTGAATAATTGGAATGAGAGTGGAGGTTTTGTTGTGAATGAATGGGATGTGCTTGATGAATTGTGTGTGTGTGGGGCAGGAGGAGTTCACCCATGTGGTGGAGGCGCTGTTGCTGTGCTCGGAGGAAAGCGTGCGGAACGCAGCAACGGAGACGCCACGGCCCCCGCAGCCCAAGGAGCGTGGGGAGCTGCAGGTCACCGCACGCGCACACAAACACGCTCGCGCACACCAGTGCACACGCACCCAAGCGAGGACACAGACAAGGATACACACCTGTATACACAAAGACACGTAGACACATATACATGCGCACATCTGTAAAGGTCCAAATTAGTAAAATAAGGAAAAAATAGGCTTGCAATTTACTGAATTGGGATTACACAGAGCAACATTGCCCCCCCCCCCCCCCACTGGTAAGAATAATTCCCACTTGCAGGCTCTGTGGCAAACAGGGGTAGCTGCCACTAGGGGTGCTCTTTAAATGTTTGAGATGTGACGTAAGGCGCTTTGGTTGATGCAGAATTTAAGTAAATGCCATTAATTATAAACATAAATGATCAAATCCCTGGGGATTGATCGTTCCGTCACCACTTTTATGAACGTATTGGTAGGTTTTCGCAGCCAGTTACAAGTATCCCTCGATTTACAAAAGCGATGCATTAAAAAAAAAACTACATTTTGTAAATCGGAATGGCTTTTAAGATACATTTTATACGCAAAATTAAGGATGTGATTTGGTTAGTCATTCCAACTCTTCTCCTCACCTGCACTGTCCGAGCTCTCGCCGAGCTTACATTTACAAGCAAATTTCTTACGTTGACATGCTAATCTCTCACAATGCAATGGCCACCCCCCACATGGGCATAGCTGCCCCGCCCATCTCTAACCCATTTGTAAACAGCTCTTTGATTGGTGTAGACCTCCTGCAGGTTAGGAGACCTCTCCTACATTTACATTAGCTGCCTCACCCATCTCTAAACTTTTATAAACAGCCTGCCTCGGCAGGTTTCCCCCTCTTTTTTTCTCTGAAGACGATTGTTTGTGTCGCGATCGAAACGTCGTGATATTGTTATTATTTTGATTATTTTTTCTATCTACTTGGCTTTACCGAAAGACCCAAAGAATATCTGTGACTTTTCACAATACTAATTTTTTTAATAATAAACATAAATACGATTAAATAGTAATTGATTAAAACGAAAATGATTAACCTTTTCCAGGAACCCACCAAAGATCTGTATCTTGGAATGACTGGAGAGGTGACGTGGAGACATCCCTGTTGCACTGGAGAATATTGTGATGCTGTCGCAGACCTATGACGCAGCCTCCTGCGTGCTTCTTGTTTGATCTCGTGGCGCGTGCCATGTGAAAGTTCACTCACGCGGAAATTCTATTTCGTTGTTCAAAAATTGTCCACAGTTTATCAATTGTGTTAATGTGAAATTTCATAAACCGAAACGGTCATAAATGGAGAGATACCTCTTAATACAATTCACAATAAAAATTTTAGTTGGACCACGTAACAATCTGATCAAATTAATGCTTTTACACGTGACAATTGAATTTGTTTGGCTATATCAAGTTGTGGTGGGTCCAACGACACAAATTTGACCATATCATGATGTGGCCTGAGCCAAAAATAACTTGTAAATTATAAAGGCCTGTTGTGATTGGTAAATGAATGCGAGTGTGTCTGTAGTGTTGCTTATGGCGCTGTGCCATGCCGCTGTGACCGTGCCCCGCTGCTGCTGCTGCTGCTGCGCTGCGCTGCTCCTGAGTAGGTGGTGCCGGTTGCGCTGGAGCTGGTGGAGGCGATCAGCACAGTGCGGCTCTACATGCCACCGGACCTTCGCACCCCCGAGGCTCGGCACCATGTGCTGAAGACCTTGCAGGTGACGCCTTCTCCCCAAACCCCCACCAGCCTCATCCAGCCCCCGCAGCTTTCACTCAATGCTTCATCGATCTGCGTCGATTGTTCCCTGAGTGGCTCGTCCACTACTCAACGATTCACGAGTCACTCGCTCGCTGGTGGTCAATTGCCTCCATAAGCTGTATGTGTGTGTGTGCATGCCTGTGTTTAAGTCGAGCAGAAGTGTTGCAGTAAGTGTGCTGCGCTACGAACCCGGTAATCCTAGTTCAATTCCCGCTCATGGCCAACGAATGTGGTAAATATTGGAACCGTTCCTGAGCTTCTCCTTGGTCGATTCAGCCTCAAATGAGTATGTGGCACGATGTGTAAACATCGTCACGAGGGAAACAAAGGTGGCTGGGCGTAATGCTGGCCATCCACCGCTTTGTGTGCCGTGCCAGCGTTCATAGGTGCTCACTAATAGCCTTTGTGTTTAGGAGGTGAAGGCTCGCTTCCCAGACGGGGTGCCACTGATGGACCCCGTGCACGACCTCGGGATCAAGGACCCCGAGCTGGAGGCCGTGCTGCACAAGACGAGGGCCTTTGCGCAGAGGAGGCTCGCTCACCCGCTGCACACGAGCTCGCAGCGCGACGCCATCCGCGGCATCTGTGTCAGCAAGGCCCAGGTTAGTGGCGCCGTGCGCCCGCCAGTGCTTGCCTCTGCCAGCATTTTCCTTAATGGAGTCGAACCGCAAAACGTAACCGTTAGCTGGCACTGACCCCAACATTCCGTGAACCTGAACCAATATAAATGTTTCTGCTCGAGAACAAAAAACGTGAAATGGAGTGAGGTAGGGGAACAACAGGTAGTCTTGATTGACGGGGCAGGGATCCTTACCCAAAAGGGGGAGATCTGCTGACATAGCAATACAAAGTCTTCTCATATGTAAAAATAAATACACATACGTTTTCAATTAAATGACACTTTAATGCCTCTGCTACTCAAAGAGCCTTATATCATACCTCATCTCAAAGGCCATGGTGCGGCAGTCTGATGGCGCTGTGGTTGCACTGTGGTTGCAATGTAATAGCGGGATGGTGTGGTAGAAACGTGGTGTGCCGGTGGTGTGGTGGTGGCGGTGGGGCTGCGATAGGTGGCGGAGGAGATGCGCGCCGTCAGGAAAGAGGTGCGCCGTGCACACATGATGCTGCAAATGGACGAGTTGAAGCGGCGCAAGCGCGTGCTGCGCCGGCTCGGATACTGCACACAGGCCGACGTCATCCAAGTGAAGGGCCGGGTGGCCTGCGAGATTACCGCGTGAGCACGGCATGGCATAGCACGGCATATCGCGACACGGCGTTATCCGGCACCTGGCGTCGTACTAAAGAAGCGGTGTGTGTTCTCTCCCCTCCCGCTGCGTGCTCATCCTCAGCGGGCACGAGCTGCTGCTCACGGAGCTTGTGTTTGAGGGGATCTTTAACGAGCTGTCCCCCGAGCAGGCCGCCGCGCTGCTCAGCTGCTTCGTCTTCCAAGAGAAGGTAGTGGCATCCGTCCACCCTCCACCGATCACTCCTACATGGCCACGTTACTCTTGTCCAATTCCTTGCCTCCTTGTGCATCCACGTGGCGGCACTATAATAGTCCCACTGTGTTCCAATGGCTCTGTCAATTGCCGTGACCCACATCTCTGGATGGTGCAATCGTCGATGTGTTATGGCTACATGCGCGTTGTTTTACTTGTCTGTGCTACACACTGCCGTGCATGACTTGTCACTGGGTTAAACTCAATCCCTCCTTTCTTCAGCAATTCACTGCCGTGTGCCTGAACACACGACACTTCACTGCCGTGTCCTGTAGCACGTGACACTTCACTGCCGTGTCCTGTAGCACGTGACACTTCACTGCCGTGTCCTGTAGCACGTGACACTGCCCCATCTCTCGGCAGGCCTCGGAGACGCCGAAGCTCGCCACGGATTTGGCCGAACCTCTCCGAAAGATGAAGGTGAGCACAGTGAGCTCACTGCTGCCCATCCATACCGGGTCCGTGTGGTGTATGATGTGCAGCAGTGTGCGTGTGTGGTGTGTGATGTACAGGCGTGTGCGTGTGTGGTGTGTGAGGTGCAGCAGTGTGCGTGTGTGGTTTGTGACGTGCAGGAGTGTGTGGTCTGTGACGTGCAGCAGTGTGTGGTGTGTGACGTGCAGCAGTGTGCGTGTGTGGTGTGTGACGTGCAGCAGTGTGCGTGTGTGGTGTGTGACGTGCAGCAGTGTGCGTGTGTGGTGTGTGACGTGCAGGAGTGTGCGTGTGTGGTGTGTGACGTGCAGCAGTGTGCGTGTGTGGTGTGTGACGTGCAGCAGTGTGCGTGTGTGGTGTGTGACGTGCAGGAGTGTGCGTGTGTGGTGTGTGACGTGCAGGAGTGTGCGCGCCGTATTGGACACGTGTCCGTGGAGGCCAAGCTGCTAGGGAGGGAGGATGTCCTCCTGGATGACATCCGGCCTCAGCTCATGGATGTCGTGTACAGCTGGGCCCTCGGAGAGTCTTTCTTCACCATCACCACCATGACCGATGCCTTCGAGGGTGCGGCTGGGATGCATGCATACAAAAACGAAGATCCCCGTATAGCCTTAACAAACTTTTGGGACAAGTTCTGTTAGCGAGCACCTATGAAGGTTGGAATGGTGCACGAGCGGGTGGGTGGCCAACACCACGCCCGGCTGCCTTGGTCTCCCCAATGATACTGATTTTAGGCTAACTCAACCTAGACGATGTCCAGACCAGTTTAGATACTCGTCACCAAAATTGACTGAACGGAAATCGAAATCGGGTCACCGGGTTCATATTCCAGTGTGCTAATCACCGCACTACTGCTCCCGGTACACGGACTCGCGCACACGGACGCACGCACACGGACGCACGCACACGGACGCACGCACACGGTCGCACGCACACGGACGCACATGGACACACAGTTACAAAGACACACACACAGACGCACAACATCTGCCATTTGCCACTAAGTTACAGTGACGTCACCACGGCGCCTGTGCCGGGCCAGGTGCATTTTGAGGCCACGTAAAGTGTCGAAGGCTCACTGATAGGTTACGGGACAGACCCAGGTGCCATGGGTTGACTGAGATGACTGGCAGATGCACCAGTTGTACCCCCTACTGTGCCAACATGCTCTATTTTAGCCGCCTGGCGCTCCACTCGTTGTGAGCGTCACTACTCTGCCCGCCGCTGTTGTTGGAGGGCGACTGCCTCCAACTGCCCAGTAGCGTCCTTCATGAGCCTCCTCCAAAAGAGGCCCATCTTAACACCGCTGGTATCAGTCTTCAGCAAGTCCACTCAGCTCCACATCATCCTGTTCCGCATCAATCCATCTCTTTTCCAGCCCGTGTTCTGCCCATTTAGCCCCCTCTATCCAGTCAAACAGAAAGCTGCTTAAGCATGAGGTGTTTGGGCATGCAGGCTACATGACCCAGCCAACGCGGCATTGCCCGCTGGAGGAACTCACTGATGGGAAAGTATGCATATCTTTCAAGGATTTGTGAACGCCTCACACAATCCAGTTTGGTTAAACCCAGGATGGATCATAGGCAGGCCACCTTGAATGTTTATAACTGGCGCAGATGTTCTATTAGAGGGAGGCACCACCGCCCAACCCCTGTAACTTGTTTATGTGCTCCATTGTTGGGTGCATGAGGTCCACTGTTCATTGTACGATAGTTTGTGCCCTAATTACCTCCAGTTAATATTATTGCGATGCACAAACCTCTCTTTGTATGTAGCACCTCTAGAGCTCTGTTCTTTCCAGCATATCGCAGTACACCAAGTGGATACATTTACATCTGTACGGGGATTGAGTGTTACCCCCCTCCTTGCACACGGGGTTTTCTCCTGATACTGTGGTTTCCTCTCACATCTGTAAGATATTCATTAGTAGAGTTGGACAGATTGCAAGATAGGGTCACAGGGCTTGGGCAATAGTTGGCGCCAGTTCTCACTCGCTTCCCACTCGTCTGTGATTTCCCACGCCTCTGAATCCTCCTCTCCCTGCGAGTGTGAACGCGCACACTAAGCCCATTACAAATGTGACTTTTTCTTATGATGCCAGGCGGTGGTGGCGCTCGCCTGTAGTCCACTGTGGGTGCTCCGGTTTCCTGCCTCGTGTATAGAAGCTCATTAAATGTCTAAACACATCTTAATATACAGAGGGATCCATAGCTTGGGCAGTTATTGGGGCCGGCTCACCACCTGGTTGCTGCCTTCCAGCTCATCCATGGGTCCTCAGCATTGTGAGATGCAATTTGCATAAACGATGAAGCGATATATATATATATATAAAAACTAAACATTATTACGTAGACTTAATGCTGCACTATCCCTGCTGTTCATTCCTACCTTCTGGGTTCATGCTGTCACCATCCTTGAATCTCGCGCAGATCCGGAAGGATGCCGGTGAACAGTAATATGACACGGACGTCCAGAATCAACACCTCATTCCAGACTCAAATATCGCACCTCCTGCCTTTGACATCCCTCCTCAAAAGACACTGGACATCCGTGAAAACGAGCTTCATGGCTTATCAGATTCCTCTCGTCTTCATAAAGATTCTGATTCACTGGTGTAATCATCAACTTCATCAGAACATCTTGATCTGGCCAATGCGCACATGTCCTTCATATATGGAAAATTAACGGCACAAGCCAAATGAGTGCAATTGCTGCCCATGCAACCCAAACTGTGGTCCGAATAGTGAACCATTGTAGTCTGCACTCTTTCAGTGAAGGAATAGCAAAACTACACAGATTTTCTCCTAAAGCACTCTTACGGCTAGCAGACCTCAACATTGTCATTTAGCTCCTGAATATATTGCCATATGCAAGAATAGAATTCCTATTATTTCCACGGATTGCTCTCCGACTTGCCCAGTTCCATGTAGCTGGGTGGATCGTGTGTGCGTGTACTCTGCAGGCAGCATCATCCGCTGTTTCCGAAGGCTGGAGGAGCTCCTGAAGGAGATGGGCAAGGCAGCGCATGTCATTGGGAATTCCGAATTGGAAGAAAAGTTTAATAAGGGTAATTTGTGATGATCACACAATGCATCATGAACACACACACACACACGTGCGCTCATGTATACACACGTGCATGCCCACACGTGCATGCATAGAGACAAAGGTCTCCCATGTAGGCTTGATAGACTGTTGGTGCAAGTGCTGTTATCGAGCGCCTAATGAAGGCCTGCACGGCACAAGAGGGGGGTGGGTGGCCAGCACCACACCCAGCCGTCTTTGGCTTCCAAGTGGAGATATTTACCCATCGCACCACATACTCATTTGAGGCTGAACCGTCACATGTATTGGCCATGAGCGGGAATCAAACTCGGGTTGCCGGGTTTGTAGGGCAGCGCACTAACAACACTACTGCTCCCCACATAAACGCTCACGCATGCATATGCACATAAAACAACATTTACCCCTAAGTGGCGGTGACGTCACCACAGCACTTGCGCCAGGCTAGGTGCACTTTGAAGCCACGTGAAGTGTCGTAGGCTCATCGGCAGGTGTCGTTACAGACCCAGGTGTTGTGGGTCGACTGAGATGCTGTCACATTAATGTGCTTGTTTCCACCGTTTGTGAGGCACGAGGGCCACTAAGTGTTGCATTTGTGTCTCCCTACAGCTGTCACTGCCATCAAGCGCGACATCGTGTTTGCGGGCAGCCTGTACCTGTAATGCTGCCACTCGCGTCACCAAGCCACCAGCCTATACCCACAGCCCCCACCCTCACCCACAGCCCCCACCCTCACCCACAGCCCCAACCCTCTACCACAGCCCCCACCCTCACCCACAGCCCCCAACCCTCGCCCACAGCCCCCAACCCTCCACTTAACCGTTACCCACCTCCTGACCCTGACCCACAGCGATCTAAATTATGTAGTTGCTGCTGAGTGTTGAAATGTCTTCGCCATTTGGCTTTGCTGATCTTGCTTAAAAGTAACGTAAGCGGTCAGAACACAGCACGTTTTTTACAAACTCGTTTTAAGTAGAGGTGATTTACAATTGAGCCAACAGGTTTTGTTTTTAATATTGTACAAAGGTGTTTTTAAAGACTTGCTTTGTAAAACACATGCATTAAAAGAGGCCTGGGAAGTTGTGGAAAATCAGTCAATCGCATTGGTTTATTTAGTTTGTGTAATAAATACATTACAACTGTCAACCAGGGTCAGCGATACTGTGTAATAGGTCACACGGTCAATGCCACAGTATGGTGTACATATAGTTTAGAATGACTTAAAAAATAGTTTGCAACTGATTTCAGATTATTTGTCACTGCCTTGAGGTCACTTTCCTGGTGTTCCACCGAGTGTCCCTCTCATGGGCGAGCACTGTTCCACCCAGTGTTCCTATTCTCATGGGTGAGCACTGTTCCACCGAGTGTCCCTCTCATGGGTGAGCACTGTTCCACCGAGTGTCCCTCTCATGGGCGAGCACTGTTCCACCGAGTGTCCCTCTCATGGGTGAGCACTGTTCCACCGAGTGTCCCTCTCATGGGCGAGCACTGTTCCACCCAGTGTCCCTCTCATGGGTGAGCACTGTTCCACCGAGTGTCCCTCTCATGGGCGAGCACTGTTCCACCCAGTGTCCCTCTCATGGGTGAGCACTGTTCCACCGAGTGTCCCTCTCATGGGTGAGCACTGTTCCACCCAGTGTCCCTCTCATGTGTGAGCACTGTTCCACCCAGTGTTCCTATTCTCATGGACGAGCACTGTTCCACCCAGTGTCCCTCTCATGGGTGAGCACTGTGCGACCCAGTGTCCCTCTCATGGGTGAGCACTGTTCCACCCAGTGTCCCTCTCATGGGCGAGCACTGTTCCACCCAGTGTTCCTATTCTCATGTGCGAGCACTGTTCCACCCAGTGTCCCTCTCATGTGCGAGCACTGTTCCACCCAGTGTCCCTCTCATGGGCGAGCACTGTTCCACCGAGTGTCCCTCTCATGGGTGAGCACTGTTCCACCCAGTGTCCCTCTCATGTGTGAGCACTGTTCCACCCAGTGTTCCTATTCTCATGGACGAGCACTGTTCCACCCAGTGTCCCTCTCATGGGTGAGCACTGTGCGACCCAGTGTCCCTCTCATGGGTGAGCACTGTTCCACCCAGTGTCCCTCTCATGGGCGAGCACTGTTCCACCCAGTGTTCCTATTCTCATGTGCGAGCACTGTTCCACCCAGTGTCCCTCTCATGTGCGAGCACTGTTCCACCCAGTGTCCCTCTCATGGGCGAGCACTGTTCCACCGAGTGTCCCTCTCATGGGTGAGCACTGTTCCACCCAGTGTCCCTCTCATGTGTGAGCACTGTTCCACCCAGTGTTCCTATTCTCATGGGTGAGCACTGTTCCACCCAGTGTCCCTCTCATGGGTGAGCACTGTTCCACCCGGTGTCCCTCTCATGGGTGAGCACTGTTCCACGCAGTGTTCCTATTCTCATGGGCGAGCACTGTTCCACCCAGTGTCCCTCTCATGGGTGAGCACTGTTCCACCCAGTGTCCCTCTCATGGGCGAGCACTGTTCCACCCAGTGTTCCTATTCTCATGGGCGAGCACTGTTCCACCCAGTGTCCCTCTCATGGGCGAGCACTGTTCCACCCAGTGTTCCTATTCTCATGGGCGAGCACTGTTCCACCCAGTTCCTATTCTCATGTGCGAGCACTGTTCCACCCAGTGTCCCTCTCATGGGCGAGCACTGTTCCACCCAGTGTTCCTATTCTCATGTGCGAGCACTGTTCCACCCAGTGTCCCTCTCATGGGTGAGCACTGTTCCACCCAGTGTCCCTCTCATGGGTGAGCACTGTTCCACCCAGTGTCCCTCTCATGGGCGAGCACTGTTCCACCCAGTGTTCCTATTCTCATGTGCGAGCACTGTTCCACCCAGTGTCCCTCTCATGTGCGAGCACTGTTCCACCCAGTGTCCCTCTCATGGGCGAGCACTGTTCCACCGAGTGTCCCTCTCATGGGTGAGCACTGTTCCACCCAGTGTCCCTCTCATGTGTGAGCACTGTTCCACCCAGTGTTCCTATTCTCATGGGTGAGCACTGTTCCACCCAGTGTCCCTCTCATGGGTGAGCACTGTTCCACCCGGTGTCCCTCTCATGGGTGAGCACTGTTCCACGCAGTGTTCCTATTCTCATGGGCGAGCACTGTTCCACCCAGTGTCCCTCTCATGGGCCTGGAGCACTGTTCCACGCAGTGTTCCTATTCTCATGGACGAGCACTGTTCCACCCAGTGTTCCTATTCTCATGGGCAAGCACTGTTCCACCCAGTGTCCCTCTCATGGGCGAGCACTGTTCCACCCAGTGTTCCTATTCTCATGGGCGAGCACTGTTCCACCCAGTGTTCCTATTCTCATGTGCGAGCACTGTTCCACCCAGTGTCCCTCTCATGTGCGAGCACTGTTCCACCCAGTGTCCCTATTCTCATGGGTGAGCACTGTTCCACCCAGTGTTCCTCCCCTCTCTCATTCGGGAGCCACCCATGGCAAGGGTTGGCAGGCGTGCGGTGCGCAGATATCGGCGCCAACCTTGTAAGAGGTAAGAGGTCACAGGTATTTGCTCCAGCCCTGAACCTTCCACCACAGAAGAGGGCAGCTCTCAGAAATCCTCTCCAGTGTCAGACATGTCCTTTCAGGATGGTCAAGCAAATGGGCCCTACCTAGAGCTCGACAAATTCGCAGCATTGAGAATTGTCTACGAGACCCACCAGCTGTCTTGAGCTACGCCAGCATAAATTAATTCCTCTAACTTGGCCTTCAACATGGAAGCCGGCTGGGTCATTCACCTCTCCCCTTCGTAAACAATGGGCAGAACAGTATTTGAGATTAGGTGGACCATGCCTGCAACTGTTTTAGACTCACTTTTCTATCTTTGCTGAAATGTCATCTCTAAAGAGCCTGACAAGTCCTTCTCTCCCATGCCAAAGGTGTCTGCCCACGTAGGTTGGACAGGAACGTTAACAAGCGACTAAGGGCTCTGGCTGTCATTTGCCACTAAGACTGGAGCCTACAAGGCAGGTTCAAAGGCTTTGAAGCCGCATCATCAACACTTTTCCATAACAGCCACGGTATCCCACGCTGGGATAGGTACACGCATCGGAGTAGATGACAGTGGCCATTATTTGGCCGGAGAATAGTTTTGCAACGTTCCTCCAAAATGTCTTCTGCCTCGAAGGCAATCCTCATTACCTTGGTCTGCGATGGCTCTTTAATAAGGAACTGCCAGGATCCACCCAGGTGAGTGAACACAGATATGGTGTAAAGACATCGAGCTTCCCTTTCCATCCCTATGAACCAAACATTCCAACATGGTTACAGAACTGCATTAACTGTTGTTCACAAAATCCCACCAATTTCCTTATTCATTTTAAGTTTATGGCTAGTCTCCTTTATATTAATGGACCATGTTCGATACGAGTCATCATATAACACGTTTAATCCTACTATACCTTCTGCTCCAAATCTCCACCCTTCTGCCAGCAACTAAAACTCTTTTTCCGCATGCCTGCATCCCTCGCAGGAAGTGCAGCATCACTTCTATCAAATTCCTGGTATTCCACTGGCAGCCGTTGTCATCATTCCCAGTCCGTTTATAGCCTCAGTCCGGGGTTTTGTTAAAAGTCATTTTTAGAAAGATATTACACTCAAGAAGTGTTTTTAACAGTCGCAACCTGCGCAGCTGTCCCGCGCAGTGTTAAGTAGCAGACCACAGAGTGCGACGCAGAGCAAACTCAGTTCAATGCATTTCCTCTCCTCTGCCGTGCTCGTCGAGGCAGACCAGAGGATGCACGCCGATAACATCAACGCCAGGACTGGGGTGACTGTCGGCGTTCTCAGCGTCTTCCTGGTATTTGGCTTCATGTTCACCGTCTCTGGGTTCAGGGGGGAAAGCCTCGGGGGTGTCCCACTCATGGCTCTGGGTCCCAGCATTTTCCTGCCGTCTCTTGGCATAATTACGTTCACCGTCTGGACTCGGGGCTGCAGTAACTGTCCCGTTTCCGTCTTCAAAAAGTCGGATCGGGGTACGATCAGGTACGCAGAGCATCGATCTTCTGTCGCCTCTGAAGCGGAGGAGAGACAGTATTCACAAGGGAAGTCAAGTTCGCATGACGGACCTTACGTGGCCACAGGAATTGGAGCGGGATCTCCTGCTGCATCGCAGACCCCTCCTCGTCCTCCAACTGCTCGCAGGAACTCGGGTGAGCACACAAACGGTGTTACGCTTCACCCTCGTCCGCTTAAATCAAACGCTCAGATCGACGTCTCGTAGAATACCGAATTGAATTGACAAACTGAATTCGCATTCCAGCGGAAGTGTTGCGTCTGCATTTTTACGACCATCGCTACACCGTTTCCTCTCGGTCTCCCCACAGCTCCATGTACGGTGGACATCGACTGGAGCTCCGTGGAGCAGCAGGGCAGCCAGGGCGCCACTGCGCTGGCCGTGATCTACCGGCCCGTGGCGCGCTGCGGCCTCGCATCGCGCCGCCTCGCGCGCGTCCTGCCCTGCGACTGTTTGCGCTCACTGCGCTGCGCTCGTGTCAGGCGGCGTCTCCTTGGGCGCGCAGCCCAGCTTCACCTGCGCCGTGGTCATCGAGCGCTCCACGCTGGTGTCGTTCCCCTCGAGGAGGAGCTCTTCTCCTGGAGGCTGCGAAGCACCGGCAAGTCGCTGCCATCCTGGAGGAACGGCGAGCGTCACAACGGAAGTGTGGAATCGACTGCCCAGCTGCTTTTACTTTGATTCGTAATAGATGTTTGGGTGAGGCCACGGTAATGATCTGGCCAAATATGTTTCGTAAAACTCTCCACCATCAAACATAGCTATTTTTTAATTGTCACAAGTACAAGCATTTAACAATACGTCGAATGACTCGTTTCAGCTTACTGACCAGTGAGTTGAACAATTCTCACAACCAAATGTAGCTCAATTAGAGCCACCCGAGTTGGTGAACACCATTTAATTCCGACTTTCCAGATTTACCTAAATATGTTTGATGCAGTTTAAAATGATGTTACGTATCTGATTGTTGCTAAATTTAGGTGTGAGAGTTATTCAACTTTTCCAGTTTGGCACCGGTTCTGGCTGTCTTTCTTCCCACTTGGCTGTGATTTAACCCATGCAAATGCTAAGCCTTAAAAATTAAACAGAAATTAGAAATGCAATTTTCACGAAATGACAATCTATAGAAGTAAACAGTATTATTATTATGATTATACATGAACAATGATTTTCTATGAGATTTGTCAACACAAAATGAATGAACATCAGCTGCTGCCTAGGGAGAGGCACGGCCTGTCCTGGAACTCTAGAATGTCGGGAATGTGAGCACGTGTATGATCAGCGTGCCACCCAGTGATCTTCTCTCGCGTGTCTTGGGTTGCTGGGCCCTTCTCGTGATTCACGATCGCTTTAGTGGCTGGAATCTCACAGTGGCACAGATGCACTTCCCCAGCTACATCCTCTGTGTGTATTGAACAAAAAAAACATTCATTTAATTGCATATGAGCTTTAATTAATTATTATATCTCTTCACATGTCCACTCACATTGAGGACTCTCCACCAGGCTGTTTCATCTCGTCTGTCACACCGTGTTCAAGCACCAAACTTAGACTCACCACGAGTCACTCACTCACTCACTCGTCCACTCACTCTACAACACCCACCCACTCAACCACTGCACTGCAGGTCACCTCACTTATCGCTCTGCTTCTTCCCTTGCACTACTGCATTGCATTCCCTCCTACCACGATTATTTATTTCCCTAAGCTCTCATAACAATAACCTTGCTGAATTCAAGAAACGAGTAAACGTTTATCTATTCCAACTTTGAGAGTGCAGTTTGTTGCTAGCTGTTTGATGTTTTGGGCCTTTTTGCCTGTGCTGAACGACTGTGCCTACATATAGTATTCACTTAACTATGCTGCCTCTATCAATTAACACTTCGGGATACCCAGATTTAAAGTCTCGGTGATTTCCTTCTCAAGTGGGCATTGTAGTGGTGCTCATCCTGTTTATAGCTCTGGGCCACTTGTGAAAAATCCACATTCCTATGATGGGGGCGAGTTTACCCATAGTACAACCACTGCAGACTTCCCCACAAAAAGTGACACTGATTTTATCAACACCGCAGAGATGCTCAGCTGAGTGAACCCCCAGTCAGGGTTTGAACTCGTTTTAAACCGTGCAAGAGCTCATGTAATATATGAAAAAATGAAAACAATTGTGCAAATACTGATAAAACCAGAAAACTAGCAGCAGATACAGGAATAGTGAACTATGGAGATTAGCAATAGAAACATAAGCTGCAGTGCCTAAATAGCAGCTTCGAGCGGCAGATATTAAAAAAAAAACTACATAAAAAAGTCATTTCTTTAGAACTGCTTTTTGTGTTTTGTTTGTTGTCCTTCCCCTGTACACACGGTTTAAGCCACAATTTTAAAACACTTATGAATGTAATAGAGCATAGGTAGTGAGATATTGAACTTTGCATGTGTAAAATTTCCACAGCGCTATATTCTACGTGGAGTCCAAAACTATTACAACGACATTCACTAGGAACTCGAGTTATCACTTCAAATTGCAATTTCAGAGTGAACTTTGTTCATATTTGTTGACATAATTCCATGAGATTGCAGCATTGTACGTGGAAGACTCATTGTTGAGAGAGGGACAGAGGGGGGAGGAAGAGAGATGAGGTAGAGAAGGGGAGAGGCGGGAGCTTCTGTGCAATGGGTTGAGGATGAATCCCGAACGGGCACCTCAAGAAGTGCGGATCGAGAGTGAGCGAGCTCCAACAACAGCACGGCTCTGCTACCGGTTGAATCACTCTCATAAAGGGCACTCGCATCTCCAGCTTTTTAATGGGGCAATAGTCTGATTCAGACTGGATCTCGTCTGTAACACGGTTGTTTTTGGTCTAATTTCTATTTCCTTCATTGTTCTTAGATGATGATATCAGTGTCTTTGTGAGTGTGACCCAGGTTGTACTGAGACTCATCCTGCTTCTTCGAGTTCTCTCCTGGTAACAACGTTCACGTGAACTGGACACCTGAACCCATCTGGTTTGTGCAAACATGGAGAGTTTCGACGAGGTGTGCGGGATGTACGACACAAATAACACAAAAACACGGGACAGATTAGAGCATAACTCTGAGAGTTTAATGCAGTGCAACTCTTCATTTATGCCATCCACTTGTTCACAAACTCTGTTTCCCCAGAGACGGGATCTGTCGTGCTTTATGCGATCCACAGATGCTTGGGTCAATTGCACGAACATTGTGAGAACCTCGCTAGTCGTGGCATTCAGAGAACCTCGTACTGCGAGGAACCTCCTGGTTACACCAGCCCACGGGATTATTGTGTCCATCCGTCTTGCAGGGAGGGGCTGGGAGGGGAGGGTGAGGTGGGGCTGAGTGGGGAGGGGAGGGTGCGGAGGGGCTGGGTGGGGAGGGGCTGGGTGGGGAGGGGCTGGGTGGGGAGGGTGGGGCTGGGTGGGGAGGGGCTGGTCACCCCGTGGTGCCCTTATAAAACTCAACGTTTAACCTACTCACGCCGGCTTGTGCCCGCCCTCACAGTCGGCCATGTTTGCGGAATACACCACGCCGCCGTTGACCCTGGCCATTGACCGAGCAACCCAACGTTCCTACCAGCTCCCTCCGCAGGAATGTATTTATTCGTGACTGACCTCAGCTCTGAATGAAAACTGCAACAGCACCATCCCCGCATAAAACACAAGATAAATAGGCAACATCCATCAGCTTTCCCTTCCTTTAAAATCTTACTCACCCAAGAGCTGCTTGAACAACTCTTGGGGTAGTAATGAAACAACGGCTTCACCTCCACACTGCTCCATTTCCTTGTAAAGAGACTCCACGAGCAGCCCCAAGTGGAAGAAGTTTTGTTCATTACCAGGTCTTTCACGTGCATTGCGCAATGAGACTGGCTCGGTCATCTTAGCCTGTGATTGGTATCGAACTGGCCACGGGCTTGGTGCAGGTAGGCACCTTCTCAACAAACGGGGAACTTTAGAATCGCCCAAATGCGACTGGCGTCACTGTGACCTCTTGTCCGTCGCGGGCGATCTCCGAGGGGACGAGCGGAATTCACGCTCCGTGCTCTGAAGCCAGCGGCACAATTCAGAGCCGACACATCAAATTTCTAGTTGCTACTCAATTCATGTCCACATTGGAGACAGCAGTGGTGCGAGACATACTGACGTTGAGATGCCTACGGGTAGCGCATTCAGTGGCACAGCGTGTAGGACTTGCTCAGAAGCTTCTTCACCATGAATGCCCCGGCACCCAACCCCAGCACTGCTCCCATGGCGGTCCCTCCGACTGTGGCGAGGGCTTCGTGGCAGCTCTCCCTTTGTACACCTGGAGCGACAGCAACGTCTCTCGTCAGACGCGGAAACAAGATTACATCGGCACGACTAATCCACCGATGTAGGAATGCCTCAAGCCGCCGCCATCTCCTCGCGATCGTCTTCCTCGTGCAGCAGCAAACGGCAAACACGACGACTTCGAATCGGCCGCGCTAGACCCACGCACGCGCGTAACCCCCAGGCACGCGCGTAACCCCCAGGCGGGACAATGATCGCCGCAGTGGCGCCATGCCCGGCGAGTTCGTACCTCTAGCGACGGTAATGGAGAAGCGTGTGGAGGAAGGTGCTGCCCCGGGAGCCGTCGCCACGCAGTGGTAGACCCCCGCATCCTTGTCCCGCGCCGTCACCACGTTCAGCGCGCGGCGCTCGCCCGCCGTCCTCGCGCCGTGGCCCCCCTCCGCGTGGCCCCCCTCTGTGCCGTGACTCCCCTCCACGTGGCCCCCCTCTGCGCCATGGCCCCCCTCCGTGCCATGGCCCCCCTCCGCGCCATGGCCCCCCTCTGCGTGGCCCCCCTCCACGTGGCCCCCCTCCGCGTGGCTCCCCTCCGTGTGGCTCCCCTCTGTGCCGTGACTCCCCTCCACGTGGCCCCCCTCCGTGCCATGGCCCCCCTCCGCGTGGCCCCCCTCCGCGTGGCCCCCCTCCGCGTGGCCCCCCTCTGCGTGGCCCCCCTCTGTGCCGTGACTCTCCTCCGTGTGGCCCCCCTCTGCGTGGCCCCCCTCTGTGCCGTGACTCTCCTCCGTGTGGCCCCCCTCCGTGTGGCCCCCCTCTGTGCCGCGACTCCCCTCCGCGGGCCCCCACCCGGACGACGCGCCGGGCTCCGTGGCTGCCCCCGGGGAGAGGCTCTTCGCCGGGGCTCCGGTGGCCACCTCGGGGAAGGCGCCGCTCTCCGTCGTGGGATTTTCCGCCGAGGAGGCGAACATTGCTTCTGCCGTCACGAGGGGGATTGCACTCGAGTCGTCTGCTGGTGTTGCGTGCACTGCGCGGACCTCGGTCTGCTTCTCCACGGATGTTTCTGTTGTTGTTGCCGTTGTTGCAACAGGCGGGAGGACGGCTTCCGTGGGTTCAGCTGCACGAAATCGCACAACGCAAAACGATCGTTTTAACTGAAAACAGAATTTGTATTATTCACGATCGATTGGATGACGAAAACAAATCGAATCGGAGCCTGGCTCGACTTGTCGTCGCACGAGAACGAGGGTGTGCGAGATTCACCGGCGACACGGATGCGGAGGCTGGCCTGCACCCGGACCTCTTGCTTGTTAATGGCGATGACGCAGGTGTAGACCGCCCCGGGCCCCGCACCGGGGGCGTCCACCTCCAGCCAGCCGACTGCCGCCTGGCGGCCACTCTCCCCGTCGACGGTCACGTTGGCGTCGGTCCTTCCCACGGCTCTCGCCGAGTCGCCGCCGCTGTCGCTCCTGTACCAAACGAAGTCGACGCTGACGCTCCACGGGATCACCACGGGCACCGTGCAGGTCAGCCGCACTGACCGTCCCAGTGCTGCCACCGGGGGACGCTGCTCAATCAGCAACTCCTCCGGAACGTCTGCAGACGATCGCACGCGCGCGGAGAGGCGACGTCGCTCACGAGGCACGAAGGGGAAGCGGAACACAGGACGAAGACTCCTCTACCCGTCAACAAACCCAATCCCGTTGTCGGGCAATTCCACCAAGACATGAAGCAGTCAATCAATAAAGCTTCCTTCACAAGCACATTGTCAAAGAGTGCTTCATATGTAAACATAATATTACGTAATTACAATGTGAAAGACACAATATAAAAAAGTATACAAAATTCTAAATATAGAGATAAAATACATATTTAGCCTAATTTAAAAAACACCTTTCTTATCAGACGGTGTTCATGGTGGACTGCACTTAGAACGCGTCAGTCGCTGCAAAAGGTTAAACGAATCGTCCAGATGTGAAGACGGTGCAGCACAACAAAGAATGGGGCACAATGTGAGTCTCTGGGGCTCTGTGCAAGTCTCTGTGTAAACACATGTCCACTGCGCGCATTCTCCGAGTGGTTCACACTCACTATGCTATGAATCCAGAAGCCGGATTTACAACTCTGACATCAATGTACATTCTACAATTGTAACTTAATCCGTGCACATGGGAGAGACAAACGAAAAAAGAATTGCCGTGGCAAAGCAACTCGGCTCGCCGCGTGGAAACGGGGTCCGCGCGCGTTTGGTACCGTAGACGACGATCTGGGCCCGGCCCGACCGCTTCTTCGTGCCGCACGTCACCTCGCACTCGTAGTCGCCTGCGTCCGCCTGCCCCTGAGCGGCGACACGGAGGCTGCGGCCGGCCACGGGCGCGAAGGGACGGTCCCCGGGCCGGCGCCACACGGGCAGCGCCGCGGCGGCGCACCACGGGGAGACGCAGTGCAGCTCGAGGGCTTCCCCGACGCGCACCAGCGGCGCGCGGGGCTCGATGAGCGTGCGCAGAGCGCGGCCTGCGGGCGCAGAGGCGGCTGCGTGAGAGGCGCACGCGGCACCGTCGCCCGCGACAGACGAATAAGACCCACGCGCGGTTTGGGGCCGAGCCACCTTGTGCCACACAGGGACGGCTGCCACTGGGAATGCCCTTCGGATGTTTGAGATGAGATATCGATGGAAGGATCGTTGAGTTGCTGACGCATTTCAGCAAAATCGTATATACGATTTTCTTGTATTGGACATTATCATTAATATTGCTGTACATTGCAAAACGCTGTTCATTTCAAGACGCTGGGCATTGCAGACGCTGCGCCCGTTGGTGAGGATTACCGCGGCACTTGAGACATTCTGTCGTACAGGAGGATCCAGAGACCGACGGCTGTGGTGCGTGGGCAGCGCCGCCCATTGTACCGTCACCAAGCCGTCAGCCCACACGGTCGCCCGTATTCTTGTGCAGGGAAATCTAGTTCAGGTCCATATGGCATACAGCCGTTTCAATACAGGGCAAAAAAAACACATTTGTCTATGTATGTTTCTCCCTTGTGATGGGACTTTGTATGATGAACGTTGAGATCTATAAGGGCACTGGGTGACCAATAAGATCTAAATTGGTCTGTAATAGGGTAGGCACTGATAAGGGGTTGACGGGTTTGCTATTTACTTATTTACCAGTTAAAGCCCACTGAGCTATTACCTCTTTTTCTGAGATGACCTGGCCTCACATTGACAGCTCATCGAAGCGGCTCATATCATGTGGGAATGAAGTCACAGCCAAATAATCTAAATGCATGTTTCTATATGTGCAGCCTGTTGTTGTGGCCTGCAGTGTGGTAGTTAGACACGAGAGTATGGCTGGAAGAATCAATGAGCGAAATTCACAGGAAAATTAACCACGGCATTAGCGATAGAAACGAGACAAGGAGCGACTGACCGCAGGTGAGTGATGAGTGGACCCGGAGGTGAAGTCTCACCTTGAGCGACGAACAGAAGCAGCCACAGGCAGAGCTGGCCGCTTCGCGATTGCATTCCGTCCCGTTTGGCCATCGCGTCTCTCCGAAGCCACGAAGCGAATGTTTTACTTTGTCCGGTATTTATACACCGGGGGGGGGGGGGGGGGGCTATGAATGCCCCCCAGGCTGGCACTGCCTACAAAGAGAGCCGACGCGACGTGGAAGGGAAGTGCGGTCTCCGAGGGACTTTCTGAAAAGACAATGGTGACATTACGAGAAATGACTTCAACTTTACAGAAATAGGTTATTGGCAATTCCAGGTATAGGGAATGTTCCTCAGACGGTTATTATAAACAAATGTCATTTGCAGTTCTCAGCAGAAACCTATGAAGGCGATCACGTTAACACTGGCACAGTGATGCGTCGACACGTCAAGATGTTGGTGATAAATGCTTACCAATGCCACTCGCCAGTGACCAACAGGCCACTCGCTGCCGTGTCCATGGATACCTCAAGGTTATCCACCACCATTCGCCATATGGCCTGGCCACACGTCAAGAACCAAAGCCACTCCGCTGTTTGGCCAGCAGCCTTCGCGAGAGGCATTTGGCAGCATGGAAGAGACCAAGTGTTTCACCCTCATGTCGCGCCTCCTGTAGCTGCTCTGGGTTGGGAACCACCATGTCCTCACATCGGGGTCTCCACTCTTCCAGTTATCTTTGTTTTAAGGCAACTTGTGAAGAAGAGTGCTCTGCTGCCGTTGTCTGCTGGCCAAGCGACCCTCGAGAGTTGGACAGCTCGATTGGCTTCACTCTGGCAGTAAACTCCTCGCTTTGTAAAGCGTCGCCAGCACACAAAGCATCATCTCCCAGCCGCAGTTGGAATCCTGCTGCTGTCATATCTGGGGTGGAGCACCAATTCCTTTATCACTGCACCGCGTGTAATTACAAATAAAGCAGTGAGTGATGATCCAGCACTCACCGATTCACTCCAAGGGCTCATTCATTGGCAGTCAGGTGCCTCCTGATCACTCGTCCATTGCTACTATGGTTCCTGTTCCCATGGACTTGACTCTGGTTCATCCACCCTTGGAGAGAACTTGGTCTACCAGTCTGTTTGGTCTCATTCAGTGTTCAACCACCACAACATCTTCAGGTCACAACTCACCCACCATTCACCAACACCGCAGGTCCCTTGTCTGCTTCTTCCCTGCACTGCTCATTTTGTAATTCCCTCCCATCGTCTCTTTTCCCCAATCTCTTACAGAAACCGAGTGCCAATTGTTGTTGGCCGCTTGACATTTTGGACTTTCGGGCCTATTCTCAGCAACGGTGTTAAAACAAATCAAACTTCCAAGGTGATTTTGGTCACAGGCAGAGAAACGCGGCCGGTAAAATTACGCAATTCTACCAGGATTAGTGATGGTGGGTCCACACTTGCACACGGCAGGCATCAAAACATGTGAAGAAAGCCTTTCTACTTTCCCAGGAGAGAGGGCAGGATGTCTCAAGGATACTGTTGTTGAGGAGACTGATCTGACGCCAGGCAGGGTGCGTGAGGTCGTAGCGACAGGAATAACATCCGATGATAAAACCAAACCGTTTCCAAAGAGACACGGCACTGGGAAAACTGAGGATTTTCCAGCAACTGTGGGGCTTAAAAACAACACCGATATATGGGCACGGCACACATCTCGTACCCATGATGGAAACGTAGAGCATATTTCTTCATTTCAATTGTTTAAAGAAAATATCAGATTTTAAAAAATTTTACAGTAATACAACAATGCCAATCATTGTACACAAAACCTCACGAGCCTAACAAGATTTTTCAGAAGCCTGCCGATTTGACATTTGGCCAATTCCATGAATGAGCATTTGGGTTGTGAAAGGAAACCTACGTGCCTGGAGAAGATCCTCGCCTGCAGCCGGGGTGACCATTGCGTGCTGCCATCTCTGGGGCCACGTCATCACAGCCATATGCCTACAGCACCTGGCATGCCCCTGGTAGTCACCCATACAAGCAGAATTAACAAAGCACCGGATTCATCTGAAGGGGGGAGGCAGACGAGGAGACGCCATTGACAAAGTTGTTCACACCGACGTTTTAAGTTGCTTTCCTAAATTTGGAAAAACAAAGGCATCAATATAAGAGAAAATATTAATCTCAGATTTGCTTATTACCAAGTCATAACCAGTGGGAATAAACTATGGGAAGTAGGACCGAACAGAAAAGGCTGCAATGCCGAGCTAAGGATAAATGTGCAAAGTAAAAGTCACGTACAAATTCCCTCACCTGGAGTAAGACGACTGGAAAACACAGCAGGGTGTTCTACCTCGGACAGCTATTAAAGGATTGAAATTATCAAATGGTAATTGAGAGCAGGGTGGAGTATTTGGATAGCTGAAGTTGTGCTTGAAAACACAGCAATGCACCTCGCAAGAACGACGTTTAATCAGCGTGTACTACCACCTGGTATGACATGGTTAAAATCTGTGGAACAAAGAAAATAGAAAAACGAAGTGGTGTGCAAAACAATGGAATATTCCTGTCTGAAGTGGGGACTCAACTGAAAACACGGGAGCAACGCAAAGCGGCCACATTTTTTAGAGTTATTTATTGTACAACGTAGAACATAACACAACAGGGACTACAGGCCCTCATGGCGGCTCACTCCCCAAGTAGCCTCGTTCGAGTGCATCGCAGTACAACAAATGGATCTTATCCACAATTTTACTCCTCTTATCTGTGGAATAAAAAGACGGATAACTGCAGTTAACAGAATTTACTGCGTAACTCCACTTATCCACAAATATATTCTGCGTAATAGGAATTGCGCTTCAGTGGCAACTGCATTGGATGGCCATATTTTTCTGCGTCTCCTTGTATGTCTTTAGGTGTTGTCTTGTGCAGTTCGATCTAAGCAATGCTGCCCATTTAACTCCTTTAATCACAGCGCATAAAACAATTGCAGATAACCCACAAATTAGTTACATTTGCCACACGACTCCTCGTCTGCGAAACAATTGACAAGAGGATACCATTCCACAAAGACTCATGGGAAGGGTCGTGGATAGGAATAGGGTCGTCGAGGAGATGTTGCGAACCCTGCAGCTGCCGCTGGTAAAGAGTTCAGTACATCAGAGGCACAACACAACGAAACATTCATAACACATGCAGTAGTAGGCAGTGATTCGAGAACTCGTAGAATCACTGCAATAGGCCTCGTGACCCAACAGCCAACACATCCCATCACACGAAGTGCTTGCATTAAACCCCAATGGTGCTGAAAAAAACTCCTAGAAGGCCATGTGGTCGATGATGTAATGAAGGTAAAGATATGGGTGGGAGGCGAATTGTTTAACAGAACAGCAACTTCACCAAGAAACACAATTACCCGGTGTGTGTGGTTACACAATTAACAGTATGGTTGACTGTATGGCTGTCCGATTGACCTTGTGCAACTTTACGATTTGCTGCGTGGCTGTCTGTATTTGAGATTGGCGAGGCGCTGTTGACTGTGTGCGTGTATGGTTGACCGATTGTACGTGCGGCTGCAAGTGCGGTTGGCTACACCAGTCAAATAAGGACCTTGTGCAGCCCTGTGACCTCAGAGTTGCACTGCTGCACCCTCACGGCTTTAGGCAGCCTCACTGCTGCTCAACGTTTGTCAGAGTGAAGGTGGCTTCATGCCACCCGTGCCCACGCGGTCACCCACACGTGGATCAGCATGGGAGCTGATGCTGCTTCTGGCATCCACAGACGTGGTACTGTGGAGTTCAAAAACAAAGACAGCGCTCGATAAGAGGCACCTGCTGTATCTTCAATACAATGTAAAGAAGGTAAAATAACAATTTTCAGATCTCTCTTGCTTAAGTTACATACAATAACAGCATTAATACTTTACATTTCAAATAACATAAAAATGTGTCTGTGACAACTTACTTTTGCAGTTTATTTGTGTCAGACAGATGTTCAAACTTTGGTGCCAGTGAGATCCTACAAAAAAATTAGTCATTTAAACAATTGTTACAGAAAAGACAAATGCACAAATACATATTCATGTCTGTCTCTACTTCTCCATACCACTCCACATCTCTACATATCTATCCACGTTGACCAACCATCACAAGTTAATGTCTATTTGAACGGAGAACAAAATAATTTGCGTCATTGTGGAGAAAATAAGTTACAAAATAAATAAGCAGATGTCCCTTTCACATACCTGTCCCTACCCATAAAACACATTTTTATACATCCCATTAGCCACATGGCCTTTCTTCTCGGAGTGTGTGATTTCAGCAGCGGTGGTTCAAGTCTGAAATTTCAGCAGTAGTGGTTCAAGTCTGTGATCTCAACAGCAGTGGTTCAAGTTTGAAATGATGCATTCTCAGAATGTGGCTGATGGGATGTGTAAAAAAAAAAATGGTTACATTTTTTTTTGTCGAGGGACAGATACGTGGAGGATGCGCATCGTCTGCTAATGTATTTTGAACAATGATTGCTAAATGTGGAAAGGTAAACCACAGTGGGGGACTAAGACTGTAGTTTCGTAAAAACCAGTTTGGAGGTCTTTGACAGGAACCAATAACTTGGTCCACATTTGATATTCATGCCATTCTTAGAGCGGAAGGCTATCAAGAAGGCGCCATGTCTCATAAACAGGTAATTTTCAAATCTGGCCACCACACTGACATTCAATAGCCTACTATTTTTGAATCAAGTCACGTGCATCTTTAAACGTCCGCTGTGAAGCAGATGGCATGTATTATCCGGTCATACACTTGGAGTAATAACCAGGGCAGCGTGCCAGATTCGAACCGCGAACCTCTGAACAAGTGGCGAACATGCTACTGCCAAGCCATGGGAAGGCCACTCACAGCTTCTTCCTTTGACCCGTGCTCGGGTGGCCGCCAACAGCACAGTCCTCCATCCACTCGGAGAGGACGTCTGGCAGCGTAGACGGGATGCGGATATTCACCATGCTGCAACGGCAATGCAACTTCAACTACGGTGCACTTGGCATTGACAAAAATCACCAGATCGGCTCTAAAAGACTGTGCCACTAGCGAGCGCCTATTAGGGCTGGCACTGCACCAGGCCCTAGCGGATTTGGATCCCATTGCTGATACGAAGGCCGAGTTGGCCTAGGGTCGGCCCAGGCCCGGTTAGGATATTCATCACCAATGTTTGCTGTGAACGGAAATTGAAATGGGGTCACCACGTTTATAGCGCAGTGTGCTAGCCACGCGCTAAACCACTGCACTACGTGGCATTGCAACCACACACACTGGGGATCTGGGAACAGGAAATTAATGTTAATAATTTATTAAACATGTGTTCATTGGCACTACTAAATGTTCACCTCCCTGCATAATATAACATCAATATTTAGGCAAACCTTATTTGACAGATGTGCTGTTTATAACCATCTGTATTCGATCTGTACAGGGATTGATTGTTACCCCCCTTGCATGTGTGGGTGCTCTACAGGTATAAACACTCGTTCATGAACTTAATATCTAAACAATCCAGGGAAAATAAATCTAAGATTCATACTGCAACGTTTTGACTGGTGGTGTTGGTAAAACATGCCAATATAGGACCAGAGCTCAAGGCAATGGTTGATGCCCCTTCTGGCTGCCTTCCCACTTGTCTGCAGTCTCCCATATATTGATCATTTAGTAAGCTACTTCAAGAAAAATGTGCAACTACACATTCTACCATGTTTCACGATGCAATATGCACAGTCGACGCTGTATAAAAATAAACACGATTATTAGTAAAACCATATGCAGTTATAACCTAGAGGTAAAAAAAGTGCGTGCTTTATTTATGTTGAACTTCTTTCTTATAATGGATGGTTCCGCTTTGAGCGGTTTGTTGAATAACAAATTGTGTGCGCTCGATGTGGGAGGAAAAAAAACACCCACGTGTATACTGGAGGCTCTCACAGATGGATGAAGAAGCTACTTTCTGTACTGCAACCCCCTAGCCATGTCACCAGGCCTCAAGGCACAAGGTGAATGCCACTCTGCCCAGCCAAGCATATCATTTGTCCAAAACAGAATAAACTCGGCTCCCTCTCTCACCTGCAATCACTGTCCATGGCATCCCCCAATTGCTTCTTAAACAGCGTCTTCATGGCTGGTGACATGCTGGTACAGAAATAAACATCGACGCAGTAACATTTATGATACATATTGGAGAAAATTCCTACATGTTAAACTTTAGTCTATAATGTGAATGCGATTAATTTGCTTTCATGCGAGATGCCCAGGGTGGGATACATTATAATTAGTTTGGAGGTGAACGTCAAGTTTAAATCTTAGTGGTCGTTCCTCTTATCTCATGACACTTATTTAAAAAGCCAGGTCAGGTGACACAGTTATTCCGACTTGCTCAGTTGAGACCTGAAGATGCTTGACGCAGTTGAAAGCGCAGTGTCGCATCTAATTGCTACATTTATGAGACTTCTTCTACAGCTCATCAGTGGAGCTGGAACAATAACAGTCGGTGCGCGTTGGTAAGCACTTGTCCGTGAAACAAATTAATTTGTTTGACTATGTTGGGTGGTGGAGGGTCTTACCAAACGTATTTGGCCTGATAATTGTGGACTAACCCATAAACGAATGTATCATGAAATATAAATGTTTAAAAATGCAAGTTGTTTAAACAGAAAAGGAGGAGACATTTGTGCTGATTAATGACACCGAGAGCACCGCAATTATCGAGTAATTGTTGAGGGCACGGCAAGGCTCACTTTGCAGGGATGTTGCTAAAATTTACTTCACCACTCTCTCTTTGCTTGTAACCAACTCCCCACGTAAACTCCCGAGAGTTTCTTGTCCACGATTCAATTTCTGCTGGGCACACACAGATTACATCAACAACACTCGGCACTGTAGCATTTGCAAGTACAACAAAGCAGATCCCACATCGGATCGCTCAGCACCCGGTGACTTGCTAAGAATAGATTTCATTCAGATGAAAGACGGTTAACAGACTGATCTTACCACTTAGGCCCAAACCATAAAGTATACAAGTTCTACAATTTACGTGCACTATAACTGGGGACACATAAGTGAAAGGAAAATTATCTTGTAAAAAAATGTAAAAGATGAATAAATAACGAAAACCAAACTGGTTAAAACTGAAAGACAGAATGGAGTGGCTTGTATTGTATTACATTTGGATAAAACACGTGTTTATACACATGGCAGTGTGGCTGATGGGATGTGTAAACAACATTGACTTATTATGTATATTCTCCGATTATTTATCTATACCAGACTAAGATTAAACTGCCGGAGTATTGTGCTAACAGCAAGCATGCAATTAGTTTGCATTTCAACTACAGTTGTAAACATAATTATATTTACATTTCTGGCTGGTATAGTTCAAATTTCAAAACACAATTCGAAGATATACATTGCATGCTGCAGTAGTCCCTCCAATTGGTGTATAATATACGTGCATCATGTAGTACTGGATTGTGTCATGTTTTGTATCCAACCTAGTATAGACCTGAATAAAAACTGAATCATGCGTACGGTGGCAATGCATTCAGGAGCTAAGTGCCAATGTTGAGGTCTGCGAGCCACGAGAGGGCTTCAGCATAGTTCGTGCAGCTTTGGTATTCCTCCGTTTAAGGACCACAAGACGAATCAATTACTACACGGTCAAAGTTTGTGTTGCATGGCCACAATTGCACTACTGTACCTTTTCTCAAAGACAAATGAATCAAAATAAAGACAAATGTAGAGAGATGCAGGTGGCAGTGTTTTTGTAAAACTGAACTCGGGGTACTTGGGTTGTCTTCATTTTCTCGGAAAATTTAAATGAAAGGCATTTTCTAGGAAAATGGAAGACAGCCCAGTTCGCCCCATCACCCACCTACATCCCAGTCCTCTGTGCACTCCATTTGCGCCGAGTGGCACGGTGGCGTAGGCAGCACCTTCGGCACACCGCCGTTGGATAGTTTCATGGCTGTTGAAAAAGTGTGGATGCAGGTCAATTCATATGGGAACGAACAATTCACGTGTCCCATGTTTCATCACCAACTCATGTACCGTTTACAAGATGTGTGAAAGGTGTAACATTGACATTAAAATGCTTTTCAAAGATACGTTAATTTTACCACAATGGATGTCATTGCTCGAGCTACCCCCTGCTGCCCGTGCTGGTGGCCCCGAGGCCAGGGTCAGGCCCGTCCAAGCTCTTCCGCCCCAACCGGCTACTCCAACCGCTGTACCACTGGAGGTACCTACCTCACTGGGCGTTAACTTTGAGCGGTCACGTAATATTGTGCTCGTCTATCAGCGAGCTAACATTACGAACAAACTAAAAACAAGGAAAAGATTTGCGAATAACAAAAACTAGCAAGAGCTCGTTCAGTAATAGCAGGTGAATCGGAATTTCCCCCGAGCACACGGCGAGTGAGCTCCGCTCACGCCAAACACTGCACACGATAAGCTCTGCTAGGGCGCAGACTCCACTCACCGTGGCTCAGCTCGCGTTCCACGTAGCTGCGTTGTGGGCAGCGGGAAATGTGGCGCTGCAGCTCGCACCGCGGCATGATGTGGCACGCATTGAAGGGACACGTGGCCATCTCCCTCGCCAGCATTGGGTAGTTCTGAGGCATCAACAAAGATTCCCCATGAAGCATACACAGGCTGTTAGGGACAATTGCTGTTAAGCGAGCACCTATGTAGGCTGCCACGGTATATCTACGGAGGGTGTGGTGTGGTCATGACCATGCCTGGCCACCTTTGTCTTCTCAGTGCCGATGTTTACACACCGCACCAGGTACTCATTTAAGGCCGAGCTTAGGGAGGCCCAAAACTGGTTAAAATATTTGTCCCTGATGTTGGCCATGGCCATCAATCAAACTCAGGTCACTAGGTTCATAGCGCAGTGCGACAACTACTACATTGCCACTTTCCACTAATGAGGCATTATATGCACACACATTATGCATGGCCACATAGCCACACACACACATTGTAAATGTAGTTACACACAAATAATGCTCAGGTAATGGCATACATGACCAAATAGCCACACACCAAGAGTTTAGTAGAATCCCACTCCCAAAGCTGCCGTTTGAGGGTAATATGAATGCAAAATTAAAGCAAAGTTCTCAGAAAAGGGTGCAATCAAAGTAGTTGTTCTGAAGGTTATTATTTCACATTGGTCACCTTTCTAACTCTTCCAATGACAGCTCTCAGATAAAAAAATCTATCTCCTACCTTCGATATTGCCCCTGAAATCTCTCGCCTCAATTCCCTTGTACCACTCCTGGCTCCATCACTCTCATAAATCTTTAGTCAGGTTGAATACCTCCCTCTCATCTCTCATGTTTTTTTAAACTAGTATCATACATCAAGAGAAACCAAGGCATTTGTGTAAAACTGTTAGACTCCCGGAGAATGCATTGTCAATGTGTCCTCACCTTACGGCACTTGACGATGTGGTACGGAAAACGGCAAACATGCACTTTGTGGTTTTTGTTGAATGGGCATGACAGCACCTCATCCTTGTCCAAGGCCATCGTGACAGGTGCTGCGTACGCAGCCTGTCATGGATCAACAGCACCGGCACATGTTCGCATTAAAATCGTCATACCCGAGTCCCTAATATGTGTGCCTTAACTTACACTGCAGATATGACTCAAATTGCCCTGAAAGGTCACAATAAGTACGAAGACTCTTTTTCTGGAGGGTTATGCAATGTGATGATTGGCCAATACCAGTTACACTGTGTTTGTTGAGCATTGGGAGTAAACTCGAAAACCTGGGGTCACCCATGCAGAAAAGGGATAACAAACTCCCCACAGGAAGGCATTCGAGCCGGGAATCAAATCCAGGCCCTTTTTGCCGAGGTAAAAGTGTCACCACTGTGCCACCCTGGCAACCCACTGTATGCTGGGGTAATTTAAACTTGGTAGGACCACTCAAAGCCTTTGTCAATCCCGTCACCTGTGCTCATCACAGCAGCTCAACTTGCTCACAAAGTGAATTTTGTGGTTTCTTTCGTCAGTTTGTTTTTGTATTTTGACCAATTAACAGTTTACTTTGTCAAGCTTATGCTGCTACTGACGTCCACTGGCAACACAATGAAGCCACAAACATACTCTTCTCCCTACAAATGCAGAAGCGCAGGTCCTGGTGAAAGGACCAGGTATTCGATTAAAATTACCAGATACACAATATGCCTCTTTACAATTGCTGTGCCCTTACATACATTTTTTTTTACATCTGATTAGCCACACAAACTTCTGGGAGTGCATCATTTCAGCAGCATTGGTTTCAATACTCAGCGTTTCATCAGCGGTCAGGCTTGCTCTTTTTATGTATTAACATTTACTTAAAATGTTTGCCTTGACTAAAAATAATTCCACGCGCATAACGGTATACTTTTAATTAACCATATTACAAAAATAGAATTGTAAATATTTTCTTGCGTATGGAAATATGTCCAGGAGCTAAAAGCTAACATGGAGGTCTGCTCGCCACGACGAGACGGCTTCCGGAGAGTGTGCGCACGGAGCCTTTAAATTCCCCGAGAAGAGAAGCGCTGACCAGTGGTTTACGATCCGGTCCCCATGCATCTCTGTGCCTTTATGCGTCTCTATGGTTTTACTATAAATGGTCCATGGGTTGGTTGCACGGTCTCCATTGTACTACCGTAGCTCGTCTTTTATTTGTGCGCATCATCCTGTCAATGTTCTGATGGCTACACCAGTGTCTCGGAGGAATATCCATGCCAGGTTGCTGCAATGTTGTGTCTCCAATGATGCCAGTGTTGTTCCACTGTTGAACACTGCAGGTTAATACTTCTAGAGCACGCTGATGTTTGTATGGTTAATTTTGCAAAAGGGGTAAATAGCTGTATCATTATCCTAACTTTTGATAGGGTAGCGGGGTAATAAAAGCGAGTGATGGCAAAGTGTGAGCAGTTTGGAATAAGTCCTATAGTCTTAGTGGTTTGCTCCACAGCTTGCAGAGGGGATTGCCAACCAGGATGACAAGCTTGGCATTATTGGCAGAATCATATTTATTTATCCTGGAGAAATCCGATGAGCTATGAAGCTTTTTTCACAGATGTACAGTCGGGGCAGGTCCACAAGTTACAACAAATACATAAAACGATATTAATGCAAAATAGAAAAAAGGTAGGAATGTCACTAAATATAAAAATAGATAACCATTATAAGTACACATTGCATAAGTACATACATTCCTGCCGATTTGTAAACACTAAATATAATCTTGGGCAAGGCAGTAAATCCACAACAGTCCCAGACCACACTAAGACAAGACAGTCCCCTCAATAAAATTGCACATTGAATTTTAACTCAAACTAAACTATTGGCAGCACCAAACAAAAAACCTGTGATTTGTGTTTAAGACTGTGATCATTACCATTGTAATCTTCCGACTGGCAACTGCTTCAATCGTGGCAACCTGGAACAAGAACACGACGCACGGGTTGGTGTGAACATCTCGGCGCGAGTTTGTCGGAGGGCTGAACGATTTGAGGAAAATATCTAATTGCGATTTTTCTGACAGATATTGCGATTTGATTTGCGATTACATTTTTTAAAGCCAAGCTTCAGTTCAATATTCACTGTGTAATAGATTTAAAACATGTGATGGAGCATTACCACATGATACCATCAAAACATTAACTGCTCTATATATTCTAATGCAAAGATGAGAACTTAAAAAATATAAATTGCTTCCAACATGTATTTATTCAAATGTGTAAATTGAAATAGAACAATAAAACATAGAAGAATTGTTAAGTTAAATAAATAAAGTTATAATAATAAAACAATTCCAATAAGAAATAGGACTTTTCAAATCGCAAAACATCGCAGCCTTTGCGATTTGCTAATCACATCGTTTCAAACTGCGATTTCGATATTAAATCGATTAGTCGCTCAGCCCTTGTCTGTCGATGGCGCCCCGACACCGTCCCAGTGGTGGCATCAGTGGCGCGTGACCACACGGTCACCCTTCACCAGGACTCGACCACCTTCCACGATTTGGATACGAGACTCCATAATGCATGCATCTATTATACAAGCCCGGCGCTCCGTTTGGCCATCAACTAAATTATGAGCACCTTTCAGAAGGCCCGAATCAAAACGTTACAGAAAGTGGACCCCCCCCCCCCCCCCAGATGTCGGGGTAAAAGTTTGAGGCAACAGATTTACAATTTCGATTTAAAGCTTTCAGTGACTGCAGGGATTCATCTTCTTGTTTTTTTCCGGTAAAGTTACGTAGAAGGGAAATAATAAAATAATAAAAATAAAACATTATAAAACACAATTCTCACGACGTTTCGGCCACAACGCAAGCAGCCGTCCTCAAGTGAAGAACAGGCCTGTGGGAAAGACAGCGTCTGAATGAACACCACCAAGCTTGGCAGCGTATATTTAAGCTGGGTTGGGGGAGGAAGGGCGCCTTGGCAAAGGAATTTACATATCAACAGAGGAATTTAGCATATTTATGGCAAATGCAGATATGGGATTAGTCACTACTTGTGGAATGCGTAGGAGGGGGGGGGCTCTCAAAGTCATATTATGCCCGTGCATCAGTGTAGGATTAGCAGCAACAAAGGGAGGGAGGTAGGGTTAGCAGAAATAAAGGGAAGGAATTTTAATAGTAAGGAGCTGCAGCAGCCAAACCACCACGTAAAATCTAAAATATATCAATATTATCAATATACTAAATATACTCTCCAATAAGCTGAGCTACTAACAGTAAGTCATACATTACAATTCACTGTCCCAAAAAATATAATATGCCTCCAGCTAAACTTTTTCCTTACATTACACGGATCTACCCCGTACTATATACTGCCATAGACAAACCCAACATTAAATTATATACTGCATTACTATACACCACCTTTAGACTATACATTGTAATATTACACTAAGTATTATTCTACCCACCCTACTGTATACCACACTGCTGTATATTCACTAAACAATTACGATACTATATATTACCTTATACATTATATTAAACCTTACACTTTTATACTATTTATTATTATACAATCTGCGATACACTATACCATTGAATTTCACCTATCTGTTAGAGTTTGTAACAGACGAGACAAGAAGTCACAGCTTAACTTGTACAGTAAAACCTCTGGTCACGACCATAATTCGTTCCATAACTTTGGTCGCAACCCGATTTGTTGGTGACTCGAACCTAATTTCGCCATTGGATTGTATGTAAATACGATTAATCTGTTCCACTCCTACGAACTGTATATAGTGTTTTAAAATATGTTTAAGCACAAAAATTGTTCATTATGCCATAGAATTCATAGTGTAATAATAAACTAAATGTAAAAACATTGAATAACACTGAGAAAACCTTGAACAACAGAGAAAACTAACATTGCCGCGTCAAGGTTTTGAATCGTTCAACAAGATGATTGTTTCGTCTGCTACATCAGTCGGTCGATTCTGAGAGAGAGAATATTCGTATGAGCAATTCATGTTTCTATTGAAAATAAGTTAACAATAATATTTGGGTGCAGTATTGTTTTTGGAAGCATTCACCGTAATCTCGTATGAACGTTTACGTACTTAGCACTTTCGCTCTCTAAATTACGGCTTGGATAAGGGGGGAGGGGTATGACTACACTCAGAAAATTAATCTTACTAGTAATTTGAAATAACAAAAGTTATATACATAACTGTTACGCTTTGTGTTGTTTGTAAACAAACAGGGAATTGGCGCGGAAGGGGAAATCGGCCGTGTTTGATCGCCACCCGAGTTCGTGTTCGTGACCAGATTACACAAAATTGTGAATTGTTTGGTCGGAACCAGATTTGTTCGTGGTCAGAAGCGTTCGTGACCAGAGGTTCTACTGCATCTTGAAATGTTTTCCTCACTTGATACAGTAAATTTGGCTGTGACGGCCCCACCTGATGACGGAGACTTGTGTTGCCTCCGAAACGTCGTGATTTATTTTATTTCTATTACTTTTATTAATTATATTTTTTACCTACGTGACTTTACCGAAACAGAACCCTGCGGGGTGGGCTGGTAGGAACGAATAACCAAAGAATAGAAACATAATGTATTATTACACTTGTTTAGCCAGGAAAGCCCCACTGAGTGTAAAGTTTGTGTAGGGTCCTGCCAAGTGTTTGCAGTCGGGGGCGATGTTGCTGCACCGAATCGGACGATACGAAGGGAGAGATTGAGGCCTAGTTCTAGGCTTTAGGCCTAGCTGTAGGCGTTAGGGCGCTGTGAGTTAATTTGTAATTTAAATGTTTTAATGATTTATGTAGAAGCTTTAAATGTAAATGTTTCTATTTAAAAACATCAGGGAATCTAAGAGTATGAATCCATGCAGTCACGAAAGCTTCAAATAGAGAATATCGAATCTGCACACACGGCTGGATCGATGCGTGCTGAGTTGCAGTGGAGGCCGAGAGATGATGCCAAGTTCTTTGTGACAAAACTATCTCCCACTTCTACCCACGTGTTATGCACTTCGCATTGTTGTATCATGGAT